AATTATACTCGAGATAAACTTCTAGATATGCCTTATAGTAGCAATATGCTTATTAAATTAGTTCTAAAGAAATCTAGTAAGATAGTTAATAGTATAGGTAATATTAGGCCGGGTATAATTAGAGAGATACTAAAGCTCCCTAATAATCTTATTAAAGAGATTATATTATTCCTTTATATAGCTCCTCTTAGATAGGAATAGTAATCTTTCTAGTAGGAACTTTACTAGCTTTATATTTAACAGCCTATAGCCCTCTAGCTTCTTACGGCTATAATACTACTATAATACTATAGTAGTTATTTCTAATTGCTAGATGTACAATCCTAGGAAAAGGTTAGTATTAATAAGCTTAATACTATACTTTTTCTTTAGTCCCTTAATTACCTAGTCGATATTAATCTAAATCTAACTAAGGATTTAAAAGTTATTAATATATATAAGAATAAGGGCTCTATATCCTATAAATAGGTATATATCTTAGTAAGTCCTTTTAAGACCTATATCCTAAAGTGTTACGACTGTATTATAATACTATAGAGATATAGCCTACTTTAGCCTATAGAGTCCCTTTCTAATACGGACTAGAAACTTCTTAGGATCTTTCTTTCCTATATCTAGATACTTAATCCCTTCTAGTAGATATATCTAGATCTCCCTATTTATTATAAGGTTTAGGAAGGCTATCTCGATATTAATCTAAGATCTTTTCTAGTAATATTATGTAGCTAATACTAGGAGGATTCTTCTAGTTGCAGCTCTTAGGGTTAGTATAAAGGTTTAAATATAGTTAACTCCTATCTTTTAGGAGTATTCTTTAGTAGTCTATCTAGCTTTATACTTCTTAATAGTACCGTTAGTAAGCTTCTTTAGCTTATATACCTATTTTGCTTTAAGGGGAATTCTTCCCTTAAGTAGGTTACTAATCCTTTTCTATTCGATTATACTAGTAGATTCTAGGGATTTAACTTCTTTAGATATTGCCTTTCTCTACTCTAGGTATTATAATGCCTCTAATATAGACTAGGGCTTAGTAATAACTACTCCCCTAGTATATAGCTTTTTATAGTTATACCTAATTATAGACCTTTCTAATCGTGTTTAAGAGGCTATAGGGGGTAATAGGTCCCTTTTTCTTTTACTAGTTGTCTAAGGTAGTATAAATAGCTCTATAAGTATATTAATATCTTCCTTAATAGAGGTACTATTCTAGGGAGAGCCTTAGAGGAACTCCCCCTAATTCTTAGGGTTACTACTAGAAGAGCTCTAGGACTATAATCTCCCCCGGATCTCTATAGGAGATAGCTTAGTAAACTATTATCTTTAAGGAGCTTCTTGCTCCTAGAATATTACTAGGGGTAGATCCTAAGATTAATACTTAGTTTCTAGAATAATTACTAAAGGGTAATACTTAGGAATAGGCTATACCTAGGCTTCTTACCTAGTAGCCGGGGTATAAGCTTCTAGCTTAGATACTACCTAAGCTTCTAGCTTAGGGTTAGTTACCTAAGCTTCTAGCTTAGTAACGGGCACTATATAGGCTTCTAGCCTAGTAGGTAGAGTTATAAAACCTATAGGGCTTATATAGAAAGGCTCCCCCTAAGACTTAGGGGTATAATAACTTCTAACTATGTCTATATATACCTAGTCCTTATTAAAAGTTATATACGGTATAAAAATAACCTAGTGCTTCTATACTCCCCTATAGTTAAGTATAGGGCGCTAGAGGAGGTAGTTTATAGATAAATACTCTTAAAATCCTATAAACTAAAAGATTTCTGCTCTTAGGGCAAACTTTACTAAGATCTAGCGGTTATTATTATAGATATAGGCTTTGTAGCTAAATCTTCTTATATAGGATAGATCTAGGGAGGTTTCCTAAAAGATATTAAGATCTTACTAAAGGTAAAGAATAGGGATGTTTTTAGTACTAAGATTTATAAGCCGGTTTATAATATATACTAAGTATTTTAGTGCATAGTACTATATGTCCTAGGGGGCTCTAGCATTAATAACTATCGCCCTACCTTTAGTAAGGATAACCTTATTAGAGGATTTAGTAATACTATTCTATTTAGGTGTATATAGTGCTAATACATCCTACCTAAGTCTAGTAGCCTTAGCTATCTTAGTAGTAAGGTTATTAATAAATTTACTACCCCTATCTATAAATATAAGCTTAGGGATCTTTTTATATATATTTTGCACTCTCTAGATAAAGATCCTAGTAATCTTAGGGCTATTACTCTTTAGTCTAAGAAGAAACACCTATCTATAGCGGGTCTTAGCGTCTATATATAGTAGGAAATACCTATTCCTATAGATGTCTAGTAGGCTAATTAGTCCTACTATATCTATATAAACTTTATTAAGTGCTCTAGCCGCTATAGGTCTTAGATACCTTAATATAACTCGCTAGGATCTTAAGAGCTTATATGTTTTATAGTAACTTATTATATCTATATTAATACTCTCTAGTCTAGTTGCCTTAAGCTTTATAGCGTTAAGGATTAAGGCTTTAATATAGCTAAATCTCTAATACTAACGCTCTATATTAGCCTTTAGCTTTATAAAAGCTACTACTATAGTTTTTTTAACTATAGTCTTTCTAAATAGGGGGGGCTATTAGCCCTCTAGGATAAGGATCTTTATATCTTTTAGAATAAGCACTCTATAAAGCTTTTAAAGCTTCCTAATAGGCTTATTATCCTTATCTAGGATAGTTCTAGTCCTAGTATTATATATAATACTAAACTTCTCTAGGATCCGCTCTATAGAGATAAGGTTTATATTAGAGCCTAGGGAGTATAAAGCTCCCTTTAGTTCTAGCTATATTTTAAGACCTTTAGGGCCTTTTAGCTAGAGAGTTACTATTCCTAAATACGTAACTCTATTCTTCTTAATAGCCTAGGAGAACTCTACTAGTTTCTTTTTCTTATAGAGATCTTTAAACTATACTTTATTATTAAAGAAGTAATATACTATCCTAGAGTCCTATATATTAATATAGCTATTAATAGGCTTTATTAAAGATGCAGCTATTACGATACTGTAGCTTATTAAGCTATTAGAATCTAAGTCTAATAGGGACCTAGATAAGTCTTAAGCTACTATAGTATTAGCTCTCCTCTATTGTTTTTTCTTCTAGGACTTTTGAATATTAGTCGGAGGTTCGCGGAATTTTGGAGGTGGAGTACAAGAGTGACTTGATCTTTAACTGGCTTACTGTCTCCGACAGGCAGTACTTAAAAGTAGGAACTAATGTGTTAATTGAGTTGATTATCTAGAGATGTGTCTCTATCTCCTAAGAAGAGATTTTACCCTACATAGAGTTATATAACCTTGTGGCCACTTGGCTCTCTGTTATGTTAGATGTACAGCCATTCTATAACTGCACTTTCTAACAAGGACTACTTCTTCTTATTATTATTAGGCTTTCTAGCTTTCTAGAACGATAGTGCCCTATTAGGGTATTACTTATAATATTCTACATTAGTATAGTTATATTTGCACTAAGTGCATTTCTTATTATTATCTTTAATATCTACTATTACTCCTCCTATAACTCGTTTCTAGGAAGGATTAGGCTAGTAGCTTAATACTAGAGGTTTCTTACGTCTAAGAGAGGTAATTATATCCTCTAATATTACTAGCTAGGATTTGTTAGTATATCGCTAGCTTCTAAGCTACTTAATGTAGTTTAGACCTATAATAAATAGTATATTTATAATAAAAGGTAGGAATATAAGTCCCTCCTATATATTAGAAATGCGGTTAGCTCTAGTATATTACTTAGTAGCTATCCTATACTAATATACCTACTTTTAGAAGTCTTTATAGTACTTTAGAGTATTATTACCCGTTAATTTAATGCTCCTAATCTGCTTAAGAGTATTATAGATATCTATAATAACGACTAGTTAATATATAGTAAGGATTATTTTAAATAGCTCCTATACTATTTTCTTAGTACTTCCGAAATTAGGCCTAAGCTTTTTATCTAGCTAGCTATAGATAATACTATAAGTAACTATATTCTTCTTCTTAAACTCCCTTAATACTAGTAGATAATTAGCTATATTAGGGTAGTTAATCCTCTAGAGCTCTAGTTATAGTAGCTCCTAAGGAAGATTATAGAAGATATATCTAAGTATATCCTCTTTTACTAGTACTCCTCTAAGTATTACCTTCTAGCTTAAGAAGTTAGTATTCTTCTTAAGTACCTAATTCTCCTTAGCTATTTTAACTAGCTCTATTATATTTTAATTCTAGCTCTTCTCTTAGCTTACTAGGATTCCTCTATTAAAATAGTAAGTATAGGGTTAATATTATTAATACTAATAACTTCTTAGTAAGGATAAGATCGTAGTAGCGCCGGGCTTATAACCTATTATAAAGCTATTACTAAATTAAGGCGAAGTACGCAGATAATACTAATTAGTATATAGGTAAAAACTCTGCATCTAAGATGCGGCTATATCGTCTAATCCTTAGTTATCTGTGGATCACGTGCCAGAATCACAACAGCAAGACATTCCACGACGGAAAAATCTCGGGCCGTCACCGGCGTCTTTTCCCCAGAATCTCACATGGCGCTCCCCATGCAATGTTCACATGTTTCATCCGGTCATGCCTGTTGTCGCAACACGTCTGCTTCCATTCTCCTGGACCATGAGAGATGCCGATGGTTGGATCGGAGAAGATGGAGATGGAATACTCGCTTGATGTCCACGCACATTCACCTCTCACATCAAGGGAAGAGTGGACGGCATTTGCCAAAGTCCGCAATGAAACCCCCGTCGCATTCAGCCCTACGTTTCGGCGGCATCTGAATGATCAAATAGGCCTCGGCTTTCACCAGCACATCCGAGCAAGCAGCCATGGCAATCCCAAAGATGCATCATCTGCCACAACATCTCTACCTTTACATCTTRTCGCCGAAATAACCTCTCCTCCTCCTCCTACATCCCCTCTAAACCACCTTCCAACATCTCACCAGGAAGATGCCTTTCAACACGGCCCTCACCCGCAAGCTCGGGATTCGCGGTATGCATATCCACCACCATGCCATCCATATACAGTTGACACGACCAGACTGACATGTGATGTGAACTATAGTTCCCGTGGTCCAAGGCGGCATGCAATGGGTCGGATACGCGGAAATGGCCTCGGCCGTGTCCAACGCCGGCGGCCTGGGAATCATCACCGCCCTCACCCAGCCTACCCCCGACGACCTGCGCAAGGAAATCCGCAAGTGCAAGACCATGACCGATAAGCCGTTTGGCGTCAACCTCACCCTTCTCCCCTCCATGAACCCGCCAGACTACCCGGGTTACGCACAAGCCATCCTCGACGAGGGCATTCGAATCGTCGAGACGGCAGGAAACTCTCCCGGCCCCATCATCAAACAGTTGAAGAGCGCCGACCCTCCCTGTGTCATTCTCCACAAGTGCACCAGCATCAGACACGCTCTGAGTGCCGTCAAGTTGGGCGTCGACTTCCTCAGCATTGATGGATTCGAGTGCGCGGGACACGTGGGCGAGACGGATATTACAAACTTGATCCTGCTCTCCCGCGCGAGACAATCCATTCCTATCCCCTTCATCGCCTCGGGTGGTTTCTGCGACGGATGGGGTTTGGCCGCCGCGTTGAACTTGGGCGCCGAGGGAATCAACATGGGCACACGCTTCATGTGCACCATCGAGGCTCCCATCCACCACAACATCAAAGTCGCCATCACCAAGGCGGAAGAGACCGACACACAGCTCGTCTTGAGGAAGTGGAGAAACACTTCCCGCTTGTTCAAGAATAAAGTCTCCACAGAAGCATACAAGATTGAAAACTCGCCCGAGACTAAGGAGTTTGAGGCTGTGGGACCGTATGTTAGTGGAAAGCGAGGTCGTCAGGTCTTCCTCAATGGAGACCCCGACTACGGTGTAAGTTTTGATGTTCTTGATGTATGTAGAACACAAGTGCTGATCGTGAACACAGGTCTGGACTGCGGGACAGGTCGTAGGCCTCATCCATGACATCCCCACATGCGCGGACCTTGTCAACAGAATCGAAGCCGAGGCTATCGAGAGTTTGACCAAGGCGCAGAGCACCATTGTTGACAAGCAGCCACCACCGGATATCAGGGGAAAGCCTGCCAGTGAGGTGCAGGCCAAGTTGTAGAGTAGCCATGTCATGTCATGTCATACCATGAGCAAATTGGAAATTCATGACATAACATTCCATCAACTTTTCAATATCCGCCCCTTTGTCGAGCTCCGGCCAAGAATCTCGGCAAGGTCGAGTGAAGGTTTATTGTCATCTTCGAGTCCAGCAAGCAGCTTGCCTGCCGTCTATCTTTTTTCTCGCGACAGGCAACATGGTTCCTGTCAGTCATCTTTTTCCCTTGTTGCTTATACATCACCTATGCCATTGTGTTGAGCGAGCTAGACACAGCTTCGAAGATAATCACAATGAAGTTCCTCTATCATTCCTTCCTCTCCTCGTAACGGCGACAGAGACGGGAGGCTTTCGAAAGACCCCTTTCTCATAGTACCCGCCGATGGAAAAAGAAGGGGGTATCTCTAACATGATCAACAACAGACCGTAAAGAACGAGCAGGACTTCCCTAATCATCAGCGGAAGATTATAGGATATGGAAGTTCGAACATCCCTCACAGCCAAAATCCACATGCTATATCCCTCTACGTCCCCGTAAGAAAAAGCCACGATCGCCATGAATCAAAACAGCGTCCCATCACTAATCGTCAAAATCGGACTACAACCCCCCAAATCCCCCCTCAATTCCCGCGCAAGTTCCCTCCCAGCCTTCCAAGTCCCAGCCTCCAACACCTGAGCCAAACTCAACCTCTGCACCTCCTCCCCGAATTTCCCCCGCAATTTCTCGTTAACTTGCCCCGTAACAATATCCAACAAATTCACAGTCAAAGCCCGCCATTCCACAATCACATCATCCCCCGGAGCGAATAACGGGAGGGGAGGTGTGGGACTTGCTTGTAAACCTCTTGATAGAACTTCAGGTTTTAAACTCAGAACTCCCGTATCGATTAAAAAACCTCCATTACGGTATTCGGGAAGGCCGGTTAGGGAGTCCAGATTATCCCATTTCGTGTCGGGGAGCAGACGACAGATGGCTGATGTTAGGGAATAAGCGAGCCATTGGGTGAGTTTGTGGAAAGGTTGTATGCCGGGGCCTCCTTGTGGACTACTGGATTTTTTTTKGGCGAGGATGAGAAGGGGCCAGGCGTCGCCTAGTGCTTTGGAATTTAGGGTTGTGCGGTCTGTTGTGGGCCAGGCTGGTAGGAGGAGGGTTTGGAGGGTGGACCAGAGGAGTTGGAAATTTAGGAGTTTTTCATTTTCTGGAGAGGTGTTTGATAGGAGGTAGTCTGTTTTTTGATTGGGGGTTAGAAGGGGATGTTGATAGTGGGGAGAATAACAGTGATGGACGTTACTGATGATATTCCCTGGTCTGGAGGGGTTGGAACCAAAGATCTCAGGCATCTTGATTAGAGAAGCACCGAGACTTTTCAACAAGGCACATCTCTCCTTTACTCCGAGAAGAGGATTTTCTGGCGTCGATTGCATGGCTGCCGTGAAATCCTCTACATTTAGAGAGGACAGAACATTGGCTAAATTGATTAATCGTCAGTCTTGCACCATCGTCTCCCCTCTCAGTAACTCACCATCAACACACTCCTTCCCAAAAATTCCCGCCTGAAAAGCATGAAAACTAGCAACAGCCAACCCCTCACTCCGTCCAATTTTTAAATCCCCCTCGGTGAACTTCCACTCATCCCCAGCTCCAGCATCCAGCAGTACAGAAACGACAATAACATCAATCACACGACGAGCACGTTCCCGCTCCTCGATTCCGTTGGAACGCATTTCTTCGACGAGATTGTCGAGGCGGGGAAGTCCTCCCGCGTGGAAATGTTGCCATCGTCCGTGGGGTGGGATTTGGGGGAATTGGGAGGGGGTCCAATCTCTCTGAAGACCTTTGTTAGGGGATGTAGGGAGATATATGATTTTGTGCCAGGTTGTTTTGTTTGCTTACGAGAATGAGATTCACGACATAGTCTGCGGCGGAGTCGAGTTTGTCTTGATGGAGGTTGAAGTTGGTAAGTTGGCCTTCTAATGCGGCTTCGTAGACGATTTTCGCTTGTTCTCGGACACTTGGGAGTGTGAGCAGATATTCGTAATTTGATTCGGAGGACATGGCTTTTGTGTTGCTTTTCGTTCGGGGATGATGGGGACGCTACAGGTGATGTTCCGATATGTTGTTGGATGGGATGGGTCGGTGAGGCAGTGGAGTCGGAGTGGAGTCCGTGGCTATTAACCGCAAATGCGGCTATTATCGCAAAGACCCGCAAGCCATATCAAATTACCTATCGTCTTGGGCGATGTTGTAGTAGCATGGATATAGAGACACCGTAGAAGCGATTGCGGTTAGACATCCCGCGCATGAGGAATGAGGAGTAGAGACAGTCAGACATGATAAGAACGAATGAATGCCCGCCCTTCCCTCTTGCAAAAGAGATACCTCCCCTTCTTCAATCAATCCCCCTTCACCCAACTCACCTCACCTCATATCAAATCAACCCACCATAACAATGCCCAGCGAAACCATCAACATAGTCCGCCACCCCTGCCTCAAAGGAAAACTATCCCTCCTAGAAGACCGCTCAACGCCAGCAGCCCAAGTCCGAAGCCTCGTAACCCAAGCCACCTACATCCTAGCCACAGAAGCCTCCCGCGAAATCTCCTCTTCAGACCATACAATCGTAGTACCCGTCATGCGAAGTGGCCTCGCAATGGTCGACGCAACATTGGAAATTCTCTGTCCTTCCCATCCCACTTCCGTCTATCATCTCGGTCTCTTCCGAGACTCGACTACGCTGGAAGCCATTGAATATTATAATAATATTCCTACAGAAGGGGAAGCGGCTAAGAATGGACTTATTGTTGATCCGCTTCTTGCTACGGGGGCTACTGTTACTGCGGCGATTGATAGTTTGAAGTGAGTATGTCCCCCTCCCCAATATATAACAAAGCTGACGAGTGATCACAGGCGGTGGGGAATTGAGAAGATCATCGTCGTGGCTCTGCTCGCTACAAATGAAGCTATTGAGCGTATTACAAAGGTGCATCCGACTGGTGTGCAGTTCTTTGTGGGAGATGTGCAGGAATTGAGTCCTGCGGGGAAAGTTGTGCCGGGGGTGGGAGATATGGGAGATCGATTGTATTTCCGGAATTGATGATGATTATTGTATTGATGATGTCTGGTCGATGAAGTTTGTGATGGACGACATGGAGGGATTTATTGAGAAATTTAAACTGCCTGCAATCAAATGGTCAATCAAGTTCAACCAATGAGAGCGATATCATCCGGCGGCTCCCGTGGTAGGCAAAATTCCAAGACCTGGAGTTCTCCAACGTCCTTGCTACAATAAACTGCCAGTTCACAACTTTCACGTGAACACTACACGCCTACGTGGTGCGAAGAATGCGGCTGGATGAGAAGACCTATGAATATGGGAGTCGAGCCGTGGACAGGGCAAACGATCCTCGAAACCTCACTCCAGTAAACTTCACGCGATAAGCCGCCTACACTCCTATCAACTGGAAGAAGAAATCTAATCACGGCCATGAGCATGAGCATGCATTATCTTACGAGTACAGCAATCGAGATCCGAAGTTGTCACCTGCAAGATCCCATTCGAACGAGATAGGAAGAAAGGAGGCTCAGCCGCTCAACTGCCAAGCCCGCCCGAGTCTATCTACTAAATCCCGAAACGGTCTGTGAGAATACCCGCAAAGCCGTACGTTCACGATAGACATCGAGGTAGGTCTTCAGCTATGATAAAGCAATGATCCCCGTTGCGTCTATCCTTCAAGGTCAAGTAGACAGTACTCATTTCGTACAAAATCACCACTTTCATCAAGCACAAGATGGCTCCTACGCAAGTACTAATCCAACCGCCCTCTGTGACGCGAGTAACGAATGACGGACTCAGCAACAAAATCACAGTGTGTAAAACATACAATCCCAATTGGTCTCATCTCACCTTTTTCACAGTTAACCACATATCCCAAATCAAGCGGCGTCTCCCCAGCCGAACTACAATGGGGAGCCACAACCCCCTCAGAACGAGGTCCAATCCTCCTCTCACGATCCGGAGATCACATCTACACCCGCAACGCCATAGGAGCCCACGGCGGCTCATATTCAGTCTACAACGCCCTCGCAGTAGCCGCAGGAGATCTCCCCATGAATTTCCGACCGGATTTCACCAACACTTACCCGACATTCGATTTCACTCCCAAACCCTCATGGTCGGATGCGAAGAAGATTGTTGCCATGGACCCGTTTGGTCAYATTGTTTCTACTGCTTTCGCGAAGGAATTGAAGGAGGGAAAGGATGTGAGACCTACGATTGCCATTACGAGAGCTACGATGCGAGTCGCTGAAATCTCCGAGGCGATTAAAGAAGGTAATCTTCCCGTTGATGGGGATGTTGTCTTGAACAGTCAGGGAGATGTAAAAGTCACCAAAGTCGCCGTTGAGCCCGTCTGGTATCTCCCCGGAGTAGCCGAGCGCTTTGGAATTTCCGAAAGTCATCTCCGTCGCGTGTTATTCGAGCAGATGGGAGGAAGTTATCCCGAATTAATCACCAGACCGGATTTGAAAGTCTTCCTCCCTCCTATCGGTGGCCTTACAGTTTACATCTTCGGCCCCCCCGAACGAATCTCAGATCCCACCGTCCGTCTAGCCCTTCGAGTCCACGACGAATGTAACGGAAGCGATGTCTTCCAATCAGACATCTGTACCTGCCGCCCCTATCTCGCTTTCGGAATCCGCGAAGCGATCCGCGAAGCTCAAAATGGAGGTTCTGGAATCGCGATATATTTCCGCAAAGAAGGTCGTGCTTTGGGAGAAGTTGTGAAATATTTGGTCTATAATGCGAGAAAAAGAGGAGGGGATACGGCGGATAAGTATTTCCAACGTACGGAAAATGTTGCTGGGGTGAGGGATATGCGATTTCAGGCGCTGATGCCGGATATTTTGCATTGGTTGGGGATTTGCAAGATTGATAAGATGCTTTCTATGAGTAATATGAAGTATGATGCGATTGTTGAGTCGGGGATACCGATTTTGGAACGGGTTCCTATTCCTGATGGTGAGTTAGATTGGGGAAGCTGGAATGCGGTTTTTTGGACTGACTGGTTATGTTTTTTCTAGAAATGATTCCTGAGGATTCCCGCGTGGAAATTGATGCGAAGATTAATGCTGGGTATTTCACTACTGGGGCGCAGATTACGGATGAACAGCTCAAGCAAGTGGCTGGGCGCGGGTGGGAGAAGTGGGAGGATATTGCGGTAAGTGTTGTCTGGAAGTATAGTGCTGAATCTCCTTCCATGTGATCTGACTTTTGTTTGCAGCATTGAGATGTTCACCTTGGGAGGTGTGTTATACGAAATGCCGTCTATTCAATGCAGGGCAGGTTTTGGTCTCATGGCTCAGTAGCGTCAATACCCATAGTCGTGTCCAAGAAGATTCATCAGCATCCAGCACCCCTTCCTTCAGCCGTCCAGTCGAATTTCCGAAGCAATCGTCTCCTCTGCAATCGATTCTCTCCATTACTATCAACCACACGTCCCTGCATTTCCAAAAGTGACGTTCTTAGCGCCGTAACCATAGCCGTCTATATTCCACATATAAGTATAAGTATAAGTATCCATCCAGCAAGCCAATAAATCTCAACAAAACATACCTGATATTCACAAGAAGTCTGCGAAGTACTAACCTCAAGCCCATGAATCAAAACCTGACAAGCTTTAATCGTCTGCTCATCCGTCTCCGCACCCAGCCGATCAGCAATGCAAAGAAAAGGAAGACTTGCTTGGAAGAGGTAAATCCCCAAATAAAACGCCATGAATTGTAATCCGGGATCGAGTTCCATGGCCTTTTGAAGAGCATCCGCGGAGCTCAAAGCATGTTTCACAACATTCTGATATTCATTCGAGGCGAGAAGATTCTCGGATTGGTCCAGAATTGCTAGGGGGTCCCATCTTCCAGCTAGTAATACTTGTAAAACATGGACGAAGAATTCTCCATATGCGTAAGCGACTTGGCAACGATAGGGAGAAGGATTATCGGGTTCTGTTTGATGATTCGTCCTCGACGTGCTCGGATGTAAGACCTCTAAACTTTGGTGGAAATTTTCTAGGCGTGTTGAGATGGCGTCGTGCCAGTTGCTCCAATCCTCGAATGATACGGGTGATATGCCGAATCTGGGATGGTGGCGAGCTTGGGTGAAGTAGATGATTTCGCCGAGTAGAGAGCTTAGAGGGGTGAAGAATTGAAAGAAGTGTGGACCTGTGCAATAGTAGGATGGACCAGTGGGATTTGAAGGCAAGAGATTGATATCCGAGGTTTGGGTTAGGGGATCTTCGTCGATGAATCGTTCCAAGTTCGAGCATTCGGAGTCCAAGAGATAAAGGGGTTTGTTGAATAGAAGAGAAATGTGTCGGTCCATTGTGTATAGAAACCACCAGGCTCTGACTCGCTCTCTCCCCGCTTCGATCCTATCGGGAGATCTCTCACCATCTCCAGTTGGATGTTGAGATGTGTTGCTTGTGCAGGATGATGCTGGAGAAATTGCTGGAGTWTCACCTATACTGGAAGTATCGGTAGGTAGGTGTAAGTTGATTTCGCGCGCCAGAGAAAAAGCCATGTTCCACCAACGAAGACTCGCCCGCTTGAATGCACTCGCAGATGTGACCATTGCAAGATGCACGTACGCCAGACATTCGTCAAAGTATTGCGAGTTCATCTCACTCACATACCCCACAAAAGCGACCTCACTTAAAGGTTTGAGAAGCTGGGTTGTAAGTCGCAGGAGTTTTCTTCGAATGTCCTTTCTTTTTGCCACGTTGGATTCGAATAATGGGATGTCGGCTTCTTGAGCTGAAAGCCATAGCATGCTTGCTAGAAGCACGTTGCTCGTTTTTCTGGGATTCTTGCGGGTCAAGAATGATTGCTTGTTCAACACAGAGCATGGCACGAGGGAAATCTTTGGAGACCCTTTGAGCGGATTTATCTCAAAGTAGGCTTTGAGTAGATCAGATGATACCGAATCTGACATGATTTTTCGGAGCTCGGGGAGAAGTGGTTCAAGTACTGGGTAGATCCCGTTTGACTGGTCGTCTTGGTTTCGTCGGACTGATCCCCGTCCTGCTTGCTCATGCTCGATGTTGGATCGATCTGCTGGTTGTCGACGCCCTCTAAGACGCATGTCCCGTGTCTGTGTCAGACCTCGCACACGATCTGGGGGACTTGCTTCGACACTGGTATGGTTGATCGAATTGATCATATCTCGCCCCGTGGCGACTGCTGAGGTATCATGTGCTTCTATCGACCACTCATCGAGAAAGTCGCACATTTCATAGCCAAAGTCTGCCTGGGAGACATCAAAGTCCTGAAGGAGTAGACCTACGCCGTGGTGGTTTGGGTTGTCATTCATTGACAGAGCCGTATTATGCCCTTCCACAAGCATGGGACTCGAAACTCCTCGATCGTTAACTCCAGGGCCGTGAGAACCATCCTGATGTGATTTCTGGGAGATTCCATGAATAGATTGCCGCATTCTTGACAATCTTCCCCTGCGTTTCTGCAGTCTCTCATACTGGCAATTTCTTTTGGTCTCTAGAGGAGGTAAGCTAGATTCAAAGATATCATCGCAGAGGCTCGTGAATGACTACATCGACTTACGAACACAACATGAGCAGGGCTGTTGACCATCGCAACGTCGACGTGAAATGTGGCAAGAATCGCATGCTCTGCTCACTCTCCTTCGGCCTGTCTCGTTCCCATTTTCCTCAGCACTGTGATGGCTGTGGGAGAGATGGGAGCTCTCGTCGAAGGGAAGTGTGTCCATCTATATATATGGATCTCGAACGGACGGCAATGAATTAGTGCGCGATGAATATATTCACTCTTATCTGTTCACATGCTCTGCTAGGTCTTGCCAGCTGAGAGGCAGCTAGCTGTCAGTGGTCAGCTTGACATGATCCCGAAGAAGAGCCTGCTCTGAGATGTTGAAGCCTCAGGCAGGAAGATGCATCCACTCCATCGAACTTGACCAAATCCTCCCGCGCTCCACATTTTCCCATTTCGACGACGTCCGGTCCCAAAATGGAGCAGCTTGTACAGAGTATAAAACAAGAAAGCGTAATCCATCGACGCGAAGGATGATTAGAGTTTACATCAACGGATAATGCCGCAGAGTCCCATTCCATTGTATCATGTTCCCTTCCCGACTCGCGACTTCATCTCCCCTCAAAAGACATGTCGCCCACCTCCTCCCCAACAATCCCCTCGCAGCATCGCAAAACAAAAGTCATTCACCTCATTGCCTTTTGGATTCTGACTCTAGCTGCCGTGATAGTCGCCCTCGTTTGGTCCGTCGCKAATCTCAACTATGGTTCCGCTTCCTCCCCTTGGCAAGCGTGGGCCATTGCATACCTCATTGCCAGCATCATCACAATTTGCCTTACCATATACTCCGCAATCTACCGGGCTCGTCCTATACGCATCTTGATCCCGAATGCGAGTTTATTCATCCTGTGGGCGGTTATTCTGGCATGCAGTTTTCTGGTACCTCCAAAAATGGTCGGCCTATTCCAATTGAGTGCCGAGGCAGTTCTCATGTAAGATTCCGCTCCTTATCTACTATTCTATTGGAATTCCTGCTGAATACTGACGTCTGGTTAACGTGCAGATTAACCAGTGGAGGCCAAACTATATACGGCTTCGTATTTTACAGGCGAGCAAGACGAATTGACGCGGAAGTCAAGGCTATAGATCAAGCTCCGCCAAAGGCTATGAGTGTAGGTGCAGGGGAAGACGGGGTGGTAGCGGAAGGTCCACGGTCCGAGTTGAGTAGTTATGGCTGGTCGCTGAGTGATCGGCGCTCCTTGACACTACCCTACTCGGCATCGATACAATACTCAACATCGGTGCACTACTCATCCTCGCTGGGCTCTAGTTTTGAGCAGCCTCCTCCACGGTATGATGAGGGCGACATGGCCATAAGACTGGAGATGATACGATAGGGGATCCCGAGAGTTGGGACCAGAAAGTCATATGGGGTGGCAGATGAGTGAAAATCTGTGCTTCTGGATGGACCGAAACCATTCACCTGGATATGCGCCTGGGGCTCCCTCTGAAGGTAGCACGAAATCGGCTCGTGACAATATGCTCAAATGGAGATAAAAAGAAAGAATCGCAACAGAAATCGCAAGGGGATGATGGCGTCCATCCACGGCATCTGCTGAAACCACGCAGAGGTCCTCCACGCGAGGTCAGGACAGGGAAGGAGCATGAAGGCGGCAGATCTCTCAATTTGAGGACTGTCTTCGAGGAGCCCCGACATAGACAAATTGGACCCCAAACAATGTCCGACAATGACCAAAGCACGCCCCTGTGGACTTGGACTTGGCTGGATGCACCATGGCTTCCATATGGCTGATTGAAGCTGCGTGCTTCACCCGGTAATAGAGGAATTTGAGATATACGAGAGAGGCGAAGATGACAGACGCTATTGATACCCAGAACATGATTAGACATTGCGTGGATCGAGCACTTGGTATATGCGATGTAAATAGACTGAAGCAAGTCGAGGAGGAGATCTATCGGTATTGATGGATATTCCCCGCTGATAATAACCAGACGGATAACTCTACTTCTTGGTAGCAAGAATCAACACAAGAGGCCAAGTAATCTCAATCTTCTGTCCATCCATGGCCTTCTTCAAGCTCGCAAGTTCCTCTTGACCCCATTCCTTGACCTTGATCGGCGGAATCCAATTCACAAGATATCCCTCCAGATACTCATAATCAGCATCCTGAACCAGCAACTTCTCATTCTCAAACTTTTCACACTTCTCTCCCTCAGAGACCTTGGACGCCCGAGTAGGCATACCCTCCTGAACCATCGGCGCATCCACATTATTATAGATCCTCCGCACATCCTTCCACAATTCGGGATCAAAAGGCATATGATCGAGTCTAGCAGTCATAGCCGCCCCACCAGAACTCTCAGTCGGCGGCTCCAGCGTGGTATTGTATCGATGAAACATTTTGTCATAGATGTCAAAGAAGATTTTAATCACCTCTGCTGAATTCTTCCCAGTTTGATGTTCGGAGAAAATGGGCTTGACACCATACATCCAAGTAGCAAAAGTTCCATGAGGCTTCAACACTTCTGCAATCCGTGGCATAGCGGTCTCGACATCTGCCCAATGAAGACATTCCGCCGCTGTGACCAAATCGACTTTCTCCCCCTTCTTGGGTAAATTCTCGAGACTTATTTCCTCTGCTTTTGTGGTGAGGAAATCGATCTTGTCCTGGGGATATTTTGCAAAGAGCGATTTGGCCGAGGAGACGTATGCTTCTGAGGGATCGGTGACTGTGACGTGGGAGAACTTTTTGATTAATTCAATGCTTACGATCCCGACTCCTGCTCCGATGTCAATTGCTGAGGAATATGCACCAAGGTGAGAGTCATGGTGAGCGTAGATTTTGGAGTAGAGTTCTTGGGGATAGATGGGGCGGAATTTTGTGTAGGCTTCCCAGTCCATGGAGGTGAAGTTGAAGCTTTGTTTTTCCGGCATGATTTCTTTTTTGGCTCGACAATTAGTTTCTTAGGATGGAAGAGCAAGGTCGAGGCTTTGAGGAGTTGGTTTGAGTTGGTTTGGTCGGTTGTTGAGTGTTTGAAGTAGAGGATGATGTTGAAGGTAGTTAGTTGCCTACATGACCTCGGACTGAGCCACGTGAACCGGATACCACTCTACCTACCCCACCGATCAACACGTCCAACAATCTCTAGATACTTTACTTTCCTTCGCTTCTTCGCTTCCTTTGCGTCACTAACTCCATCTCCATCGAGTCATTCACTTTTAGAAACGCAACACCCACACGACTCTCCACGTCACGCAGCTTTCTATACTACCTTACTCTCACGTCTCATACACCCTAACCTGCGGCCATCAAGGACTTGCACCAGCCAGACCAATCCATAAGCAAGATGAAATGATCATCACAAAGCTTACCCTTCAATAAACTTCTCGAAACGAATCCTTCGAAAAGCTTCATTGAAGTGTAGCACTACACTGTGCCTCCTCGGCGACCACATGTGCCGTAGTGTAGGATCATGTCAGGTTTGTCTGCTTATCTGGGTGTTGAGTAGATACATCTCCTCTCTTCTCTTCTCTTCTCGTCCCCTTTCCTCGGCATTTTCTCCTAAGGTACACTTACTGAATATGACGACCAGGCAGTAATTGTCGTAGTGATTTGGTCTGAAGTTTGGCTTAGCGGCTGTGGTTTTGATTCTAATTCTAAGCATATACACGGCCTTTCTCCTACTAGAGAACGCCGGGAGACTTGCAAGGATTGCAACTCTTTGCGCCATCTTCATATCGGTGAAGAAGCCAAGTCTTCGATCTGGGAGTCATTGCAGCGAGATTCTCAATCGTTACAGTCGTTTAGGTATGACTTCTTGCACATGCCGAGAGAAGTCCTCCTTACGCGATGGAGCTTATGAGTAGTTTCTACCTACACACACATACGACAGTACCGACGGCTATCAGCTCTAGGGTTTGCACGGCTTCCATTTCCACATCTGTCCCTGCCAATGGTCTTGTGTGATGCGAATGGCTACATGCGTGCGAGTTGAATCGCAATTGGGATTTGAAGACGGAACTCACTTTTTTGAGTAAGTCTATTTACAAGGGGTCGGATTTGACACCGGGTAAGTTTGGAGTAGAATCTTGTTAGGTTGATAGATGAACTTCCTGTCTCATTCTCAAAACGAGACGGTTACCTCCTATTAATCCTTGCTCTCATTAGGGTTAGGGTAGGAAAGGAGATTCTTCTTCCGCCAGATACTCCAAAGGCATTGCCTATCCCCAGCACAAGTCGCTACATTGGGTTCTTATGTCCCTTGAGTTCCTAGCTTTTCGACTCGGGATCCCACTTTACGTATAATCGAGCTACTCGTTCTACTGAAAGAAGCTATGGCGCGGCTGTGGAACATCTACATCACCTCCTCCAAACGCACGATCTTTACATACCTCTCCTGAGAGACCGATCGTACGTGTGAAGAAGAGGAGGAGCTCTACATTGTATGAGAGTAAAGACATCGTGCCTTAGCATGCTGATCTAGTAAATATAACCGCTAGCGACAACCTCCGAGCTCCATAGAAGAAGAAGAAGAATTATACCTCACAGTTAGCTCAACTCATCAGAGCATGAAAATCGACATCTTGCGTTAGCAATTGGCATAGGAGCTTAACAAGAAGTTTGAAACGGGAGCATCAATCGAGCCCAAGTCACAGAGCGGCTTGATGACCGGAAGAGAATCAGATGAGTCAAGCTCGAATATACTACAAGCGAGCCGGAATGGCTTGCTATTGTATCTTCTACATTGGAAAGCCTGATGATGTTTCTCCTCCCGCGGAAAGTCATCTATCATACGGGTACTTTGATTCCATGTCGAATTGTACGGTGTAGGAGAGTCTGAGATCCGGAATCGCTGATGGTAGCATGGGATGTAGTCAGGGGAGTTGTGGTGAGGAAAGGAGAACGAAAGCGACGGCATTATACCTAGCTTCGCCATCTTGAACGGGCGTGATGAAACCAAGCTTCAAAACAGAGCGTAATTAAGATCTTTGAGGAGTTCATTGCAGATCTTGTACTGAATGAATGAAAGTGCCCCGACTGCACTACAGCAAGATGTGCACAATTCTAGATGGCACCGACCCAGTCATGTCACTAATCCTCAATCCCTCGAGAGGGTTCGCAATCCACTCGACTTTTGTACAAGCTGATACACATTAATGGAAGTATTGTGGTTTTCGTCTCGAGCTTGAGATTTACTTACGTATAATGACTGCCTCATGGAAGGAAGTAATTTTGATCCAACACTACGATCTTTCCTTGCGTAATTTCCATTGAGGTGGTCGGCATACTTTTACCTTAGGTAGTGTGAAGAAAGTGGATTGGTGTTTCCAGGTCACAACTACCTTTTGAATGCTCGTGGGGGGAATGTGCCTGCTCTTGTCCAGTCTGATCCTTCTGTTTTTGTTGTCGCATGCAAGCTTCTCTCTTCTTGCCTCTTTACCAACACTTACCTTACACTCTCATCATCAACAATAACACCATCAACACCATCACCAACAACATCATCATCACCATCAATATCACCATCATCGCCATCCAATCCAACAGCATTCCGTCAACACCACCAACAGCAGTAACACTTCGCCCAAGCGGTTCATCAAAGCGGCCGCCTTTCACCAACCCATCAAATCAAGCAGTTCTGCACGCCGGCCTCCAACATGCTGTAGTACTCCATGATCCCAGGCCTTGGCCTCCTCAGCTTGCTCTCCATCTACATCGAGCCCACCATCTCATGGGGAGCATCATCATCCTCGCCTCGCATGTGGAAAGAGATCACATACGAGGAGGAAAGACAGACCATTGACTCTCTCGCGAAAATCACCAAAGAAATTGTACCCCGAACACGGGGTTGTACCGCTGACAATCAGATGGCCATCGCCATGGCAAAACTCCACCTCGAGCAATGGCTCAACTATACCCTGATTACTCGCGGCCTCCAAGCCGCGGACGGATCCCAGATTTCAGTCCGCCCTATCGCTGGCAAGCTACCAGGAGCACCGGAGTGGGAAAATCTCAACCAGACGGAGGCACTCTGGTTGCAAACTTTGTACTTTGGAAACATGACGAGCCCAAGCATCGAAGAAAATGCCGTCAGCGGTGAGTGCATTACCGACAGCAATGTTCGAAATGAGAGCTGACTCGGATCATGCAGGTGTTTTCCGCTTCTTGAGATCGGCACTTGACCGGCTCGACTTCAGCTGCCAAGATACTTTTGACAAGTGTAATAAAGAGGAAGTGTACGCATATGTGGTTCCAGATGCGTTGGGCCGTCGTGGGTATCCGCAGTCGTGGCCCGGGTCAAAGCATGGTTCTCCCGATAATACCATCACACTGTGTCCCTTTTGGTTCGAGTTGGAAGGTWCCCCATGGATGACTGTCAATCCGGGGGAAGAGCATGCCCGCGAATATGCAGAGCGTTGGTCCAGGACTGAAAACCTTTTCCACGAAATGACGCATCTTATCCCGGCGGCCGCCTTCGGGGGCAATTTGCTCAGGGAAGAGCCCTTTCCAAGTAGGTCACTGTTTGAACGGCATCGTGATAGGAACCTTGGCTGACTGACGTTTACAGTCATAGACACCCCATTCGTGAAGACCGGGATTCCTGTCAGTGTGTGGATGGAAGGTTGGAACGGCGTGCCAGAGGGTCCGCGTACATTTTTGCGAGCATGCGACGAAGTGGGCGAGCATACGATGTGCGACGTCCGACAACCTCCTCATATACGGGCATTGGCCGAGTACTCTCCCTGGTACGCCAGGCGGAACTCGGAGAACTTTGTTTGGTACGCGCTGGATGTCGTGCGGGGAGTGAAGAAGGTACCCGACTGGGACTCCAACGACAAGCAGAAGGCGGACAGCAGACGAAAGAATGATGCGGCAATGAAGTTGGAGCAAAAAGTGGCAAAGGAAATTACCAAGCGGCTTCATGAAGATGGATGCTCCGCCAAGCCGCCCAAGGGAAGCTGGATGTGTCCTGACGATGATGATGCATTGGTCATGATGGACGGCATCCACCATGATGAGCTTTGAGAGGATCGCATCTTGGCTTCTCAGCACGCATGCCAGCAGTGATGAGGAGTGAGCAAGGATAGGTGTGGTGAAAAATCATGGTCTTTGTGGAGGCCGGGGAGACTTTCGTATCTGTTTTGCTACTGTCATTGAGAGAAGGGAAGATTGACGAGGGAACAGTAGATGGCCATCATTGCCGGGGTGGGTATTGACGAGGATGGATAGACATACACTTACATAGTCTGTCGTTGGCCAAGGAAGAAACAGTTGATTCAGAGTCCTGCTTCCCATTCATTTCATTCGTAGTGTAGGATGTAATTGATGATATCCYGTCCGAGCTGTACGTGTCAGCAAGGATGACCACCTATCCACGGCGTACGTACATAATAAGGAGGGAAGTTGGAAGATTTGGTGCGTGGAGGAGAGAGTATTCAAGTCGAGTCCATTTTCAAAAATATCATCGACAAGTAGGATGAACAAGAAACGAACCTGAACTCATTATAGGGAGTCATTTGAAGAAGAAGAAAAGCTGTGCTCGCAGTGTTGCCTCTTCGCAAAGGGGGGTATCATCCATCCATCCATCAATCGTGCATCAATCCAAACCATCTCTACTGTCACTGTCGCTGTCAATCCCCATAAACCACCTCTCTCCTTGCCCTCAATACGACTAAAACTCCCTCCCCTTGCCCTCGGCTCCCAACGCCCCAGCACCCCAAACACCCACCAAACCCCAGAAACCAATCCTCCACCCCCTCACCAAACCATGCACACCCTGGCCCTTTCGCGTCCGGATCATTCCATCTCTGCCCTTCTCCGCCCGCTCGCCTTCGACGTATAAAATGTGATAGACGGTACCCCAGACGCCTTTATACGCCGCCGGAGAAACGATCATGGGTAATTCGGTGTCTTCCTTTTTCATGACTGAGACTTGGGCTCTTCGCACGACGGTTTCCAATGGGAGACGGATGAAGAGTTCGGCGAGGGTGGTGGTGAAGGTTGCCATAGACCAGAGGGAGGGGGAGGATTCGGGGGTGATGCGAAGGTTCCTTCGCAAGAAGAGAGGGAGGGCGGCGGAGAAGGTATTGGGGATGGCGTGGTAGAGTGCTGTTGGGAGGTAGAGGATGGATGGAGCGACGAGGGTGGGCAATCGTCGCAGGTTTTGTACGAGGCCTCTCGGAGCATGATGGGTTGGAGTGAGGATTAATCTCGTGCGTACCATATCCAGTGGGAGGAGGAACAAACCCGTCAAAGAGCTGGAAATGGCAATGACGATCAGAGATGCCAATGGATTCGGACTGTCCGAGAGATCAATCCCGCTGAAGCCCGCAGCGAGAGGAGTGGTGAGACCGGGAGCCAGACCGGCGGAAGCAGGGGAGGGAATGTCGGGAAGGCCCAGGATTGCCAGCAAGAGAGAGCGAATAAAAGTGTCGGTAGTGCGAAGTAGAATAGAGTAGAGGAAAGTGGTGTTGGAGGCGCGCCACAGGCCGACGGCGCCGGAAGTGGAGTAGAGTTGGGAAATGGCGTGCATGACACTCGCCGGTTTGGTCAGACGAAGGGAATGCGAGGGTGTCGAGGGAGATGAAGATGGAGATGAAGCGGGAGATGGTGATGTCCTCCTTGGCTTGGACGAGCGCTTCTTGTGGGAATCGGAGCGGGGGATTTTGGGGGATGGGGCGGTTTGGGAGAAGTAATCCGGCATTTCATCATCCTTACTCGTCTCTTCGCTTTCATCCTCTTCTTCCGTGGAATATCTCCTCGTCCGCACCTTTTCCTTCAACACGGGCACATCTCCTCCGGGTTGGTGGATTTGCAGCAGCGTCTTGGCCACATCAAACGGTTGCGCCAACAACGTGGAGGTATATCTCCAAGCCAGCGTATCCAACAAACTGCGCGTGACCTGCCATGCTTCATTCCCCGTCGAGGCCAAGTCCAAGTCGGGGAGGAGTTCGCGGGCGTAGGAGGAGGAAGCAGGCGGTGACGGGTGTTGTGATGATGGGGAGATTCTGTTGGGCGAGGTGCCGATTGAGGGCGGGATGTAATACGGTCGCAGTGGATTGGGGTCGGTAGATTTGGCCATGGGGAAGCGCGAAGGATCCATGTTGGTTGCGAGAGAGGAGGAGACGGGAGGGTAAGGTAGAGGAAGTTGGTCCAGCCCGGCGTGATGCTGGTATGCGGCGGAGCGTCACCGAGCACGCGGCATGAGCCGACAGACCCTGTGTCGATCTTTGGCCGGGAAGTTCAGTGCAGTCCAGCCAATCACAGGCCGGTGGAGTTGATTTGTATGGAATCGACGACGACAGGGCGCTCTAAGCAGGAGGAGAAGCAGCATTGCGGTGATGCAGATGTCTTATACAACATGTCTCCTTCTCCGTGCTGCTGTTGATGCAGAGAGCATAGAATGGTTCGGTGCTGCATGTAGAGCGGCAATCTTCAATTCCTCCGGGCCTTGCGTGCTGATGTTCACTTCACTTCAGCCCCAAGTGTGGCGCCGATTATTCATGCATGCATGACATTGACATTCTATCCCACCTCCCACCCCGACATTCCCAATCCCCATTCCCACCCACCATGTCGCTCCTCCGTCAGCACCTCCTCCCCACAGCTCGACGCATACTCTCCAAACCATCGCCTCCCGCCTACTTTGCGTCGACGTCAAGAAGAAGAACGACCGTCAACATCCCCCAACGACAACCCTTCCACACCTCCCCACCCCGACGACACAATGAACTCACCCCTCCCGCTCCCGGACAAGAACGAAAAGTCACCTTCATCGACAAGGACGGCGTCGACTGGACCTTTACCGTCGCCGATGGAGATAACCTGCTGGATATCGCCCAGTCGAATGATTTGGAAATGGAAGGCGCATGTGGGGGCAGTTGCGCCTGCAGTACGTGTCATGTCATTGTGACAGATGAGGAGACCTTTGATAAAATGGTGAGTCATGTTGGGAGATATGGGAAAGAAAATACAAGTCGAGGATGGAAGGAATGAATTGCTGACGGGACATTGTGACTTTCGTAGGAAGAACCTTCAGACGACGAGAATGACATGCTGGATCTGGCATTTGGATTGACCGAGACGAGTCGCTTGGGGTGTCAGGTGGTCATGAGCAAGGAATTGGATGGTTTGGTCGTCAAATTGCCCAGTATGACGAGGAATTTGCAGGCCTCGGATTTCGCGGATAAGAAGTGATGCACTCACAGCAATGAGAATTGATGATGGGAGGTGCTCTTTTGTACAAAAAATTGAAGATACCAACGGCATAGCGAAGGGGGGATATGTATGGAATGGACTGACAGACTGGCAAGGACAGAATCTGCGGGAGGTGTACACTACAATCTGTACGATAATACCACGTCGCTTTGGTTCAAGGGCCTAGCTGGTGGAAAGCCTGCAATGCAAAACACGCCTCTCCAACACGAGGGAAATCCTCGCCAAACGCCATATTCCCAGAGACAAGTGGATTTAAAACATGAAAATCGACATGGACAGGAAATATCGGCTCAAAACACGGCCATCTCGCTGGTCAATGACTTGATGGGCCTCGCAACAATGCCTGTCATTCTCTCCCTTTCTTCTATCCATCTACGCTTTATCCTTCTACAGCAAACACCTCCTCTCTTCTTCGTAGTGGGCATACCTCTCCCTTCTTCTCCATCATCCACCTCATTCTCATTCTCATATCCCATCTGCATCTTCAACACATCCACCGCCGACATGACCAGCATCTCGAACGAAAACAACATCTCAATGAATGTCGTGACAGCACATCCTATAGAATTGTCATGCGCTCGTGAAAGAAATCCACTTGTAACAGTTCCCACGAGGGGTTGTGTGACAGGACATGAATATTTTGAGGTTAGGAGGGCGAGAGAGCAGGTTAGGAGGAGGGAGTTGAGGAGTTTGGAGGGGAGGTTTGAGGGGGTTGGTATTGGGGGAGAGGAGGGAGAGGAGGAATTGCAGGGAGAGGCTGAGGGGTTGAAGAATTTTGATGGGATGGGGATGATTTCAATGAAGAATTGAAGTCTTGATGTTGACGACGCGCCTCATCCGTTCCCATCTTCTCCTTCTCCTTCACAAATTGATTGACTAAAGACATGTGAGGAAGATGCATAGAAGTAAATGATCCAATCGTATGCTTCACAGAATTGTCATAATGAATAGGATCTTATAGATTCTACCGAGCCTAACAATACGATTGGATATGCCGTGGTCATATATAGAGAGAGCAGTGCGCTTGGCACATTCTTTGCTAGAGCCTCATAGCTTGAAGAGTACCAAGAAAACCACAAGGCGAAGGAGGGAGAAAGGGATTGGATAGGATGGGATCAGAAAGTCTCCGGCCGATCAGTCTTGGCGTCCACATCTTTATCCCGAAGCCGACTCCGGCATCCTTCCTGCCCGCCCTCTCGCCTACAATGCTATTCCTCCCCGCCGCTCTCCCGATCGCGGAGGCGGGTCACCGCTATCATTTAGGTCAAGATCTATACATGTCTCCTCCCATACCACCACTTCCAACAAATTGTAGGAATGCGTGCCTTTTATCGAAGACGGCAATAGCGAATTGAATGCCATAGCCGACCCCCGGCTAAATACACTGCCGCCTTTCACCACCTCTCCCTTCATCCACGCTAAAACCATCGCGATCTCTGAATCCGGGAGCGGTAAGTTACGCGAAAGATAGGCCTGCAATATCCCATACATACGGTAGATAGCTATCTATCTATGTGAAGCCATCGTCTCTTCGGACTCGCATCCGCTATCGGCAGCCGTCTGGCCCCCAAACGTTCCAAAACAATTCAGGAACTTGGACCTACACATCTTTATACATACACACCGAGGGCGATGGGGATACTCTACAAAATCCGCGTGGCGGTCTGGGGCGTCCCGCCTGCCACGAGAGCGGAAACGATTCTCCTTCGAAAGATTGATTTTTTCGTCCTCTCTTTCGTTTGTTTGATGTATTGGGTAAATAATAACCTCATACCACTGGCATTCATCCACGTACAAAGAGCTAATATTCACATCAACATCCAGGTCAACTACCTCGACCGCGCCAACCTCAACAACGCCTACGTCTCCGGCATGCGCGAAGACTTGAATTTCAAAGGCACCCAACTCAATCAAATCAACACCATCTTCTACGGCGGATACCTCCTGGGTCAAATCCCCAACAACCTCATCCTACAGAAAGTTCCCCCGAGGATTTGGTTGCCGACGACCGTTTTGTGTTGGGGACTGTTGACTCTGGGAACGGGCTTTACGAATCATCCGTGGCAGATTATGGTCATTCGCTTTTTTCAGGGATTCTTTGAGGCGAGCTGTTTTGTGGGCGTGCATTGGATTTTGGGGGCTTGGTATAAACCTGATGTACGTGTGATGACTGATGACTGACCGACCCCGATCTCTTGGATTTGGACTCGGATTGTTTGGGGTGTGTGATGGGCTGACTGGTTTCTAGGAGATTGGAAAGCGAACGGCCATTTTCACCAGCTCGGGACTTGCTGGGACCATGTTCTCGGGGATTATGCAGGGCTGTGAGTTGTGTACCATGTGTGTTTATGTTGTGAAATGCTTGGGACTGACTTGGAAATGTTCTTCTCTAGCCATCTTCGAGAGCTTGGATGGCGTTCAAGGTTTGGCTGGATGGTGAGAAATGCACCTCCCTAACATCTCATTACATGAACAGTATACTAATCCTCGCCTCTTCTTTCCAGGAGATGGCTCTTTGTTATCGACTTTTTAATCACCTTCCCCGTGGCCATCTAGTAAGTCAAAACTACAATCATCCCATCCCACTAGCTTCCACATTCGAGAACTCCACTGACGGCCTCACCTCACTTGTTCCAGCGGCTTCCTCTTCTTCCCCGACACTCCCAACAGTTCCGTAGCCAAATATCTCACCCCGGCGGAAAAAATCATGGCAGTCGAGCGTCTTCCCGAAGTCGCCAAGCAACGCGGAACTCTAGGCTGGAGTCTCATCAAACGTGTAGTCCTTAGCTGGCACTGGTGGGGGTAAGTCAAACCATATTCATCCCAGATCCCCTGCCTTCAGAGCTAACATTCTCACCCCTTTATCATAGCTTCGTAATCCTCTGGATCGCAGGCTCCAACACAGAAATGTACTCCACAAACGCCATAATGCAACTCTACCTCCGCAGCACCAACGACTACCCCATAACCCAAGTAAACTACATCCCGACCTCAGTCTCCGGAATGGGCATCCTCGCCACCTTGATCCTAGGTTGGTATTCCGATTCCAGTAACCGCCCGCGCTGGCACGTAGGAATCCTCTTATCCTTCACCGCCATCCTATCAGGTGCATTGTTTCTCCATCCGGAATTAGGTCGTCCCGCGCGTTTCGCCGCTTTGATTTTGAATGGATGCCAGTTTGCGGGGCAGACGGTTACGTTTGCTTGGGCGAATGATTTGATGCGTGGGGATGATGCTAAGAGGGCTGTGGTGCTTGCTAGTATGAATTTGTTTAGTGTGGCTGTGTATTTGTTTTGGAGTCTGTTGTTTTATAATACTACGCAGGGACCGGATTGGGTGGAGGGATCTTGTGAGTTTTCTTCTTCTCTTCATCTTAATCAATCAAGTTTTTTTGTTTGGCTGACTTTGATGATTTAGGGGCTATGATCGCCATGGGGATTTTCCTCTTCTTTGCYACTGTGGCTTGTCGGTTATTGCAGGTTCGACAGGAGAAGCATGAGGTGATTGAGAGGGAGGGAAGGATTCCTGAAGAGTTGAAAGGGGTGGATTGAAATTTGATATTACAGCAGGCGTCAAGAAGTCAGAATGCTTGGCCGACCATCACCGAAATCCATGTTGTTGCATACCACATAACTTCTTCAATTGCTGATGGATTGAGCTCATTGTTGGCTTATATGAATTTTGTGATCGCTGGCTTCAATTCCTATGTACCCAATACCTAGTGTCGAATCCCCTTGCTGCAATAAGTTCCATAGACTTTCGTGCTACACGATCTCTTATAATCAGCTCGACCACCATCGTTCCTCGTATACGCTCCTCCTCCTTAAAGCTGCTCTTAAGAAAGTCTCTAATATCTCAACACTTAAGGCGGAGTCGTAGTGTCAGGTGTAGTATTCAACGACGGAAGAGGAAATGGTCTTGAATCTCCATTATGCCGCATAGGAGGACTTTACGGTCCTGGCTGGACAATATGTTGCGCGCTAAAGCTTTGCTGAAAAATCTGCTGAGTTTGAATGAAGAGGGTTAATAACGGTATTAGGCAGCGGGATCACAACAGGGCTGCTGGACGTTGAGTCTCGTCATCCTTCCCTACAGATTCCCAATGTCATCAACAGGATCCTCTCCACCGTTGATGTCGAAAATAGCGCCATACTCCCTCTCCCCATCCGCGTCTGCCTGGGCCGGTGGGAGTTGTCGCGGCTCAAACTTTGGTAAAAATCAGTCTCGAGTCATCTTCGACGCGGATGGGTTCATCTTGATCAAAGGATGATTCCTCATTGTTGGTATATGGAAAGGCACCATCCATGCAACTCGTCCATCGCCTTTAAAAATTTGGCGAGAGACGAGCTGAAATGAGTACTTTAACCAACATAATCGGGCGCTGAACCAACACAATCGGGCACCGGACGTTACATTTTGCGTGGTCTAAATGCATAAATCACTAGGCAAGAATGACAGCGATGGAGATGAAAATTTTCGTAACGTAAGTGTATAGCGTCGCTGCTATTCGGTCTTGCTTACTGAGTCCAGATTGGTCGAAACGGATCGCTGGCAACTTAGATCCCATGGGCACCTCTGCAGTGTTTGCATGAAGGTCTTGTTCCTCTTCAAGTGCTTGCTGCTCTCCATGTCTGACCACTATAGCCCGAGTCTCGCTCTCATCTCCATTCCAGAGATCTCGGCGGAAGGTTGAGCATCGCATCCGTCAGCTTAGCTCGCTATGTACGGGAAAGAGATGTACTAGTCGTACCAAGTCACCCGCTTCGGCGGGTTTCTGCGTTGCTAGAACGCATAACTACAAGGTAGAGAAAAGAGACGACGGCTCTCCGCAACATAGGTGTGAATGACCGCCCCTTACAGTCTCTGTTCCATCTCCAACTCCGATGTTTCCTGTAGAAGTCGAGCATACTGATCGTGAGCTTGGACAACTCTTCTGAAGCTAAAAGAACAAACGTCACAATAGCGCCTTGCTTCGTGTAGTGGGATATCTGCGTAACTGAAAACCATCACAATTATTCAAGGTACTGTCGTTCAAATTAAAAGTTACTACTGCGCTGATATCGTCAAGTCATAAACTCGTGTAAAGGAAGCAATCCACAGGTAGTCCAGCTACCGCAAAAGCATCTCTCCCATCTGCCAAACCCAAGAAACCGCTCAAGTCATCAAAGCCCTCCTCTCCCTCCACTCTCCAGCCCTTGATCTTACTATCATGTCCATGTGTAGTATGGACAATGATCAGCGTGGTCGAGCGTGAACGAGAAACAATGCTCGCAAAAGTCAGTGTCCGTGCCCGAGAAGGTTTCGGCGGAGGCTTGTACTCCTCGCAAGTAGCTCTGATCGACTGGATGCGGCTCGGGGACTTCAGGCTGTGCTGCGGGAAGCCATGTTGGGAGGAGTAAGGCGTTGGGCTCCGGGTGCTCGGTGAAAGCTGGCTCCACCGCTAATGCCTCGCCCAACTCAGCTGGCTCAGAGCGCTCGAGGTTATCAACTGGCGGCGGGGCTGGTGTCTGATGATCGAGGCGAGAATGCTCGGAGTGAACGGGCGCTGCGGATTGCAGATCGCCCTGTTGAGCCGTCTCTGAGGCCTCCTGCTCAGCCTCAGGGCGCTCTTTGCCTCCTCCTATTCGGGGGGATGGCGCAGAGAGAGGAGCCACCTCAACGCCCTGATCCACAAGATCATGCGCTTCTGACTGCTCAATACTTTCGACAACTTGACCCTGGTCTGGTGCCAACGGATCGACACTCGCCTGCGAAGCTAGCCCGAAGTTCTGCGGAGGCGGAACAATGTTCATCCGAACAGGTCGCCGCGCATCCACAACGAAAGTCTGTCCATCCGCAATGCGAAACCAGGCAACTGCTATTATTAAATCAGTATCCTTCAAGTCAAAGCGCAGCACTCAGAAACTTACAAGTATTTGGGTTGTGTGCGAAAATTGACACAACACTACCGGCAGCGATCGCCAATCCTCGACCATGGCTATCGCAGACGACGACATTCTCAACCACGACCAGATCGGTGGGTTCGGCCTCCAAGGTGTCCTGGACGGTGCTGTCTGCGAGTGGTGCGGGTGGGAAAGGAGGTTGGCCGTTTTGTTGTGCGGCCGGCACCGAGATCAGGCGGACGTCTTCGTCGCGGACGGGAGCGTACCAACCTGCTTGGTTTTGCAGGATGGACCAGCCTGTGTGTTTCTGTTAGCTGGGAGTTTCGAGTTGGATGGGAGGTTAGACTTGCCTGGAAGCGTGTTGACGTTGAATACTTTTATGGTGGAGTTCTGGGCCAAGTCGACGATTTCGCCGGCAAGGTCGCGCGCTCGGAGGTTGTTTGTCAATACCAAGAAGGTACCGACGGAAGGGGGGGTCTGATGTGTTCCAGACATTGTCAAGAGAATCTTGCTGTGGTGGTGGTTGTTGATGTTTGGATTGGTGGTGCTTGAGGAAGAGTTTCGCTGTTGGTTGTTGGGGAGATGATCGATGTTGTGAAGAGAGAAAGTGTAGAAGATCCAGTGTAGTATTTAGCCATTGGAAAGTACTGTAGAAAAAAGAGTGAACGACAATGGCAGCCTTCAGCAGCGACAGCATCTCGTGCAAATGTGTGAATGAGTATATAATTTTCCTGCTGACAATGGTAAAGTTGGACTTTTCATGCGATTGTGGATATTTTCCAGATACCAGCCGTGTGAAGGTCTCTGTAGGTGTCGCATCTTGAATGTGAATGAGAATTAAACGTGCTGCGATGGAGTGAATCGAGATAAGATGTAACAAGTAGAGTATGGAGAGCGAAATGGTAGCAAGAGGGGAGAGCTGGATTGATATATGCGGAAAAATGTATTGTAGAATAAACTAGAACTTCGTCGATACGACGCGGTGCTGGAGGAGAGGAAACGAACAGGTTACGAGAGCGTGCGGTACGCTTCTTCTTCTTCGGCTCTTAGTCGCCTTTGCCCTGACATATGGGAGCATTCGTGCTGTAGATTCAGCCAGAACGTACGTCGCTACGACAAACCATCAGGAGAATKAGGCATCATGAAAGAAGAAACAAATATGCAGTTGATAGAGTAGAGAAAGTTTTCTAATCGTTTCGAAGATCAGAGAAAGAAAATGCACGCTCCATTCGCAAAATCTAGACTAGTGTAAACTCCTTATCAAAGCCTCTTTGTTGTGTCCGTGTAGTCTGCTTTGTGGCTCTCCTCCCTACCAGGTCGCTAACCATATCRTAGCTTTATGGCTGTGTACAATGCATCAATCCATCATTCATCCTGTGATGACACGGCATATGATAGAGAGGCAGATAGTCTTACATCATCCGCCGGATCCCCTTCACATCGTTCAATCAAACTCATCAAACATACCGCGGGGCATCGGAGTCCACGTCTGACCCCCTTGGTCTTCAGAGGCCTCCTCTCCCGTAGCCTCGATCTGGTCTCCGCCAAACATGTGAGCCCATAGCTGCTCCTCGCCATCTTCAAGAAACCCCTCCGCCGCAGCCCAGAATTCGGCGTCGTTGGCACCGGGAACCATTGTCTCACCATTCGCATCGCCTGCAATAGTACCAGCTTGGCTGTCGTTACTAGTGCCGCTTCCGTTCTCAGATGTAGTGGCTTCGGAGATGGCGTTGGGCATAGCGCGAGGTGTCATGGCAACAAGGTGGTTGTCTTCATGCGTAGTCTCATCCTCCTCGGCGTGATTGACGTTGACCCAGCTGTGCCCGTCCCAGAATATATTGCTCGTATGCTTCAGGACCTGAGCACTCCAGTCCCGTGAAACAGTCGCCCACGCGAACTTTGTCTTGTCTCCAGTCGTATGGATCGTGTCCGTGCGAATACTGTTACGAGCTGGCCAGCTGCGACGCTTCTCTGACTGATTCGCCATTGCGAGAAACTCAGGGTCAGAGTGACGCGACCATGGAATGTTATTGCGATTCATGTGGTCCTTTAGCAGACCGCAGACCTCGAAGTGTAGGGACAGGAACTCCTTGACAGAGCCGCAGAATGGCGCGGAGCAGCCCATGCACTCCCAGCGTTCCATGTCGCGGTTGGACTGCGCTGCATGAGCCTGCGCATCTTGGATGGTGGCGTGATGTGAAAGGCACTGCGTACAGCCGTAGTGGTGCGGCTTGATGTACGCTTCAGCCTCCATGTCTGCGCTGGAGGCACGAGTGATCTTGGCGGGTTTAGCTTGCGAGATTGCGCCAAGCATGTTCGCATTGTCGTCGTCCACTTGATCGTAATGCCAGACGCCTTCTTTCTCGGCCCCTTCCTCCTCCTCTCCTTCTTGTGCGGCCGTTGGAATAGAGTGCGGAAGGACCTCGCGTTGCTTTCGTGCTGTGTTGGATGCTCGAGTTGAGCTAGACTTCAAAGTCGCTTGGAGCATGCGAGGCTTCGTGTTGGAACCTCCTTTGGGTGCCTTAGTCGTGCTGTCCAGACGCAACGGGATCTTCGCTTTCTTTGCAATGGTGAGTGACTTGGTAGTGGGCCAGTCGCCCGTGGCACGGTCAGAGTTGTCGGGGGAGCTTCCTGTCGTGAGTACTTGCAAGTTGCGAGATCGAGTGACACGCTTCATTGGCGGCTCATACGCATTGTCTTCAATGCCATCCTTTCCCGTAGCCTTGCGCTTCCGAGACGAGCTTAGCTGAGTGGGAGCGCGAGGCTTGCGATACCAACGTGCGCGCGCCTTGACCTCGAAGTCGCTGTTGTCGCTATCGGACTCGTCATCGTCTTGAGACTCATCGGACGCAAGATTGTCCAACTCAAAGTCTTCCTTGTCTTCGCTACCCTCGTCTCCCYCTTCCTCGTCCTCGTCCTTTTTATCGGCCTGTTCCTCGTGTTGTTTCTTGTTCTGTTTGACAGCCTTACGCTTGCCGGGTACCTTACGTCTCGAGAACCCCTTTGGAGGACCACTAGGTGCGGTTCCAGCAATCTGAGCCGCCGACMTTCGGGACATCACCTCGAGTCTGGAGTTCACGGGCATCTTGCGTCCGTATTTGCGCGATGTTGCCCACGGGACGAACTTGTTACATGTGTAGTTGTGCCCGCCCTTACAATCCATCGCTTGCGTACAGCAAAACTTGGCATTGCACTTAGGTCCCTGGCAAACCCATCGAGTACCGTCTGTGCTTGATTCCTGGAGATGCGCGGCAAGGGCTTCATGGTCGTTTGTCTCGAAGCTACAGTTTGAATGGCTGCACTTCAAGGAGGCGGTACCCGAGGACATGGTGAAGTCTGACAGAGGGTGATGATCTTTTAATGGATCGGSTTGATGTCGAGGTTGCCAACTCGAAGCCTTGAGCAAGGTGACGCGCGGTGGTTTACTGTGCTAGTGTTGGATTCCGCGTAGCTTGCACAGTGGTGTCGATGCGAGGAAAAGAGTGTTCTATCTTCTAGTCCATTATCAGACWCGGCTTAGAGAACATCGCGCGCTCATGGAGAAACTTACTACCTGTTGACGAGGGTGCTGAATACTGCGATGCGCTTGACCAAAGGATGCTTGGGCAATGGTTGTGGTTTGGGAATAGGGGGTGGCGGTAATGGTGGTGTTGGTGTTTGGGGAAAGATTCAGAATCCAATCGACCACAAATTTTGTAGCCACGATGACGAAAACATGCAGCCGATTCAGAGTGAATGTACAAAGATAAGATAAGCTTCATCATCATCTCAAAGCTCGGAGCAGAAAATATAGAAAGAAAATGCACGTTATACAGGTTGAAAAGTGTGATCTAGCTTATCGTTCACGCCTACGTGCTGGGAAGCCAGCTGATATAGCCATGGACAGCCTCTTTGCGGCCTGTTTGCTATAATTGTTTGCCTTGAAATATATAATACAATCAAACCATGCGAAAAAAGCATCCCCGAAAAGCATTATGAAAACTCCTTTGAAGCCTCGCTGCTGCATGTAATATCCGTGTAGTCCATTCCTGCCAAGACCTCTAACTACACCAGAGCTTCGAGGCTTTCCATCCTTCATCTGCACATCAAATCATTTGCATCGTTCCACCATACCTTTGTGACACTGCACACGTCCCTTGCTCCCCTAATGCGGAAGCACTTTCCACAGTGCGTCCAACCTAGCCTTGCCTCCCAGGTTGCGGTTCTGCGCCATGGCCCAGTTCTGTTCCTTGCTGACGCTCTCATTCTCTCCTCCAGCTTCGATACTGCTGGCTTTGTTGCAGTCGTCTTGGCCCACATTCGCTGGCAGTGGGGTGGCGGGAACTGGGTTGCGTGTTGCGGAGTGACGTACAAGGCCAACATGGCGGCGATCTTGCTCCACCAGATCCTCGCCCTCAGCGACACCATTGTAGGTGCGCTCCTCGTTCGTGCTGGTGACTTGAGTAGCCGGATGAGCCAACTGATGCAATGCGGACGACTGGTTGGAGGAGACCTTCTTGGCGGTCACCCTCGCGCCGATAGTCATGAAGTTTGGAGCGGCAGCGTTCTGATTAGCTGCGCGCTCACTCTTCTTGATGTATCGTGTGTCGTTTCGAGCAGGCCAGGTGCGGCGTTCCTCTGTCTTGTCCGCCTGGTCCATGATGTCCCTGTCGTGAATGCGATTCCAAGCAATATTGTTGTTCTGCATCCAGTCTTTCATGGCCGCGCACACATCAATGTGCATCAAGAACTCCGCCTTGTCGAAACAGAAGCCCTGCTTACAGCCAAGGCACTCTCGGCGTAGCTTGACATCGTTGGAGTACACTGTGTGTACTTCTGCGGCTTCGTATGTTGGGAATTCGACGCTGCAGTGTGTACAACCGTAACATGCTGGCGCGGTGTATGCTTCATCGATCGTGGTGGTGCTGAAGCGATGATTGGTCTTGGTTTGTCCGACCTTTGTGATCCCGGTCAGTGGGTTCACAAGTTCATCGCGTGTATCATCTTCGTTATTGTTGCCGTCTCTGGGTCCAGCCTGAGCCTGCTCCTTGTCTTCATCCTTGCGACGCTTGGAAGCTCCGTCTAGCCGGTCGGTCGCTTGTCTCTTGCGCGGTTCAGCAGTCTTCTTCTTCGGCTCAACGCYCTTCTTGACGATCTTCCTCTTTCTCGCAGACTTTGCAGTTGGCTTCGAGAATCCTGGTTGTGGGCCGAGTGGTACTGTCCCATTCATTTGGGCAGCAGTGCGTCGACTCATCAACTCCAGTGTCTTGCCTCTGGTGAGGAAAAACCCATACTTGCGCGCCGTGCGGAAGTCCAGGAATGACTGACAGGTGTAATGATGGCCACCATCGCCATCCATTGCTGCGGTACCGCAGAACATCGCCGTGCAGGTTTTGCCCTGGCATACCCAGCGATCGCCATTGGTGCTTGACTGCGTTAGATGCGTTGCGAGCGCGGCTGGATCCGCCGTCTCGAAGCTGCAGTTGGTGTTGGTGCATTTCAAGGATGCGAGGCTCGACATGGCTGAAGTGTTGTAACTGAGTCTAGGTCCCCAGGTGGCCTCGATCGAGGGTGGTCTAGTTGGAGGCTTTCCGGGGTCGACGCGCGATGACAAGTAGGCGATACCGGCCGTTGTTGCGTGTGGTTGACCACAGTATGCTGTTCATTCCAGACGGAGGGGATTCTAGTAGAAAATCAGACTCGATCTCGAACGGATTCTGCAACTGTAAGAACTTACTTCCGCTGCCGATGGTGCAGCGCTGTTGTAGTGCGCCTAGCCAGGCGTTTGCGATGGTTTGGGGTGCGGATGATGGACGATCGATGGTGGTGTTGGGGGGAACAGGTATTGAAAGTCGAGTGGAGTTGTTTTCAAAAGGTGTTCGCGCTTCGTGACGCGGTAAGTCAAGGCGCGCCCACTAGCGCCATTTATCCGAGCCTTGGCATTCGAAGTGAATGAATGCTGTCCGTCCAAGCCCGCATCTTCCACATTCTCGTCCATAGCCTGTCGAAGCGGTGAGTTCCGCTACTCTTTTGTTTGAACCGGTCATCCACTGTCCTGTATGGTGTCGACTCTGCATCTTGTCGTGTCGGCGACGGGCACATCGAGGCACATCGATACCGAGTTGGACGTATACTGCAGCCAAGATGCAGTGTGTATAGTTCGAGAGAGGCATATATTATAGCGCATTTGTCATTGTGTAGCTGTTAGTACGCAGCTGGCCAGTGGGTGGCTCACCGACGGCTACGGACTCCGAGCGCGATTCTGGACGGAAAGCGTGCTCACAAGGTCCAGCAGACGCAGCAGTCTGCTTGTCCCATGATGCCGTGACCGCGATATTTGGAACGATGTATCTCATTACAGAAGTCTGGTGCAGCCCCGTTGGACATATCCGCCTCGTTTCCAATCAAAAAGCAAGATAGACGCTCCTTGCACGATTGAGAGCAAGGGAGTTATGTCTGAACATGTCTGGATACGCACTGGCTGGCAAGCTTTCAAAGATGAACACAAGGAGTTATTGCAGTGGTGATGGAGACAGTAACCTGCTTGCTGGACATACGTGTGCAAGCGCCATGTCTTTGTCCCGTTCCGCATCTAAGCCAGCCGTAGCAATCGTTCCGGAGAACAAAGCCATTCGCAAGCTGCACGAACAATGCTCCAGGTTTATCGAGCCAAGATTGATTTAGGGGTTACTTTATCAGGCTGTGACACTCTCTCTTCAAGCTCTCTATTCAATGTACAAGTCTAAATCTCGAACAGATGAAGCCAGCTCGGATCGTAGCCTTCGAGATGTTCTTTTGTTATCATTCATTGCTGTGATTCTTTGTGATGGTCTACAGCCACCTTCTCTCACATTATATAACGGACTCTTGGGTCGACCTCCAAACACTTCACCCTGCAATGTGCATCGCAATCTCCTCAATAAATCAAGCCTGGTTGATCCTCTCCCAAAAACTAACTCACAACCTCCGAGACTTCTTTACCACGCTCCTCTTCCGCTTTAAGAGGCTTCACATCCGAGAACGCTGTCCCGAAGAGCGAAAACATATTCGTACTTCTTACTGTTCAAACATAGTGATCAGCAAAATGATACGCCAAACGTGCAAACTCAATATACATACCAGCCATACAATAATAAATCGTGCAGACCGTAATAGCAACCTCATCTCTCACAGCTCTAGACCCAGCCTTCGGTCCAACAAACTCAATATCTCCAACTTTCCTAAGAGCCCAAATATTGGTCGAGTATCGCGCCACAGCCTCCTGATTTTCATCCAGAAGGGTAAAATCCCATTTCTTCAAATTTGCGGAGCCTATCCAAGTCATGACTACTGGTTTCTCGTCATCGGAATAGGCGTGAGAGAAATATGAATATTTCGTAGTGAGTCGTTTCTGGGCTTTGAGTTGGATGGATTGGGAGCCAATCGTGCAGTCTGCGTGGATGGAGAAGTAGTGTAAGGTTGCTGTTCCCATTGTCTTTTCGGTTTCGGCATCGACGAATATTAGATGTGGCACGAGGCATTTGTGCTTGACGATGATGAGAGGCTTTTGTGTTTGCTTGTCTTGAACCAGAAATTGGAAATTCTTCCATTTAAAGTCGACTTGAAGGGTGTGAGGGTTTTCGGGTGTAGACATTGTGATTTAAACAGTATCGGGTTGGTTGGGGATGTTTGTGAAAAAATTATTGCAGATTATTGGGAGCCAGGCCTGCTGCTGTAGTGTACAGGAGAGTATACTTATAAGATAGCGAAAGGATGGTTTGCGAAGACTCGGCATACGTAAGGGCTGCAGCGAAGGATTCGAAGGATTCGAAGCGTTACCACTTCTGGTGTGTTGCTGCGCTACTAAGCTGCATCATTCATAAATACTTACTTTTTTCGTCGGCATACCACTAGGATTCCGTGGCTTGAATTGGCCTTCCAACATCGATGAATAACAAGAGGCGCCGAAAATGACCACAAGGGAGGCTGGCAGCCAAACTGCGGAATAGAGTTCCACAAATACCCACTTTTGTAAACCAGGTCCCCAATACGACCAATCAAAGATCATTCGTAGTGCGGCTTTCTCTCTTTGGGGCCAAGTGTAGCCTTCAACGTGGATACCGTGAAATTGTTGCGGGGCAAACCATTGTCGACATCAAGCGGATGCAACGATAAGGACGCTGCATTCGTTCGGTAGATAAAGTAGAATGCTGGGTGCTAGTATTGGGTATCTTAAAAGAGGGAATCGATCCCATCAATAGTTCAGTCGTTTTCAAGGTGCAAGGGTAGCTGTAGGCATACATTAGGAGAAGTTTCCAGTGTTGAAGGCACGAGGAGAGACAGACCATCAATCTCTTTCTGGCCGATGCTTGAAGAGCATCTACAGTCCCTTCGTAATGCTCAATAGGAGCATTAAGGCAATTTCTTCCATTCATACCATGAATCTCCCAGATCTCTGCGTTGGCGTCCTGCCCATCATTGGAACCGCTCACGCCTACGACGAATCCTCCTCAGCCGCTTTCTTATCAAAATCCGTACACCACTTCGATCGTTTGCGAATTCGATCGCCATAGCGGATCAACACAAATGGCACAGCTGCCAGTATGCAACCCAATCCTGCAATAAGAGACCCTCCTCCAGCAACAGTCAGAGCTTCAAACATGTAGCGGGTGAACAGCGGCGTGGATGCACCGCAAAGTGATCGAAAGAGCGAATTCGCGGCGAATGCTGCAGCTGCATGCCTACATCTTCTGGTTAGCGTAGCGCCAACGACATACAAGAAGCCACAGACTTACTTCAAGTAACAGTCCGCAAGATAGTTGAGCAGTGGAACGAAGATTAGCATGAAAGACGTGGAAAGGAAAGTTCCTGCCAGCGTCGGTACTATCCAGTGAATGCTGTTATATTGAGCGGTCCACGCGAACCAGAACATAGTGATGGGTAAAAGCACTCCACCATACTTTGCCTAGAATTCTTGTGTTTGCTCGGTCGTACAATGACATGTCGCAGCCTTACCAAAGTAAGTCGATCCTCGGGGACACGGGATTTCCCTGCCAGCACATCTTTTCGTTCTTGTCGAGAGTTGTAAAAGATGAAACATCCCGCAATGCACGCTCCAACGACTGTGCCAATGAGTGGTAGTTTACTGACGCCTGCATTGTATCCACGCTTGCCATGGAAGACAATGGGATAAATTGCGAACAACATGTAGAGCAGCGTGTATACTAGGGCGGAGTACAAAGCGATGACGAAGGAGATTGGATCGAAGAAGATGGCCGGTGGGCGTGCAAAGGCAACGCGAAACAGTGGGGCGAGCGCTCGGTCTTCTGCTTCCAGTGGAGCCTTCACGTCCTTGAAGTCGGCAGTCTTGGCTCCTCGGAGGCGCTTGGCTTTCTTCATGAGGATATGGGGCGAACTCGTTTCGGGGATGACGAGAAGAAGAGGTATCGTGCAGGCAGATATCATGAGCATGACATAGAAGATCCACCTCCAATCCTTCTTCAGCTCCAGGAATCCTGCTACGACGGGTCCCAATGCTGGTCCCGCGAACGTCGAAACGGTAAATATTGCATAGGCATTGCCTCGTTCAAGAGGATTCCAGATGTCGGTCAGCAGACCAGGTGTGTTGGAGAGTGTTGAGCTTGCGAAGAATCCGGTGAAGAATCTCCCAACCAAGAGGGCAGCAACTGAGGAGGGGTTAGCAAGTTCCAATCAGCTCCGCCAGTTCCGTCCTTACMATTAGGTGCAAACGCGCAGAGAAAGTTGAAGATGATGTACCCAGCAAAGCTGACGGAGAAAATCCACTTTCTTCCATACATCTCCGAGACGGGCGCCCAAAAGAGCGGGCCTGCACAATAGGCAAGCAGGAAGGCGGTCGTGACCAGCCCAGCTGCGAAGACGCTGACATGTAGATCCTGGGCTATACTGTCCAAACATCCAGATGGACCTGAAGAGGCAAAAGTGGCATTCACGACTGCCAGGATTGCTCCGGATGAGATGTACCATCTGCGGGCCGCCGACCAGTTCTGGGGATTCTCTGCATCATTCGGTGCAAAAGCGACATATCCGTTCTGGTCCAGGGTGGGTAGAGTGTCATCTTCCACGAGACTAGCATTGCGGTATGGTTTGGCTTCTAGTCGAGAACTGAGTCTTTCGAGCGTCTCCATGGCGAGCAGTGGACACGGAGAGTTGGGCTTCTGACCTGCCAGTGGACGGAGACCAGCCTCGGAAGCAGCATTGTCGTTGAATATCTAGCATTAGAAGACTCTTTTCCCCACTGCAAATCCCGCGCCATTTTGCAGAAGCTGTGCGTGAATCACTGGTTGTGGGCAAAAGGAAGATGAGACCTGGAAGGCTGGAAGGAGCGATCTGTCGGCAGTTGCTCCACACTAAACGTCACTCTGCCAAACGCGAAACGGCTCGAATGGGAATAGTGAGTCTTTGCGGTCTGTGCTTCTGAGACTAACGTCACTCCTCGGGAAGATCTTCCATTAACTACATGTAGCGGCGATCATCAGCACGCAAAAGTCTCATAATGATGATGCATCTTCTATGAGAGCTAGACGCACTTCAATGGGAACCAAACGATCTTCTGTTCAATAATTCAACTGCTTTACTCAATGTGACCAAGATCTTCCCGACAATCGCAGAGCAGAAGCATCGATCTCGGTCACACCGACTTACTCCACCATTCACTACCACTCTAGCGTCGACATTGACTCGGATTCGGCCGTGAGTATGTTGGCGGTGCATTGTCCTCTTGGGCAATGGCGTCGAGCTCGGTTCGTACAGCATGAAGCCATAGCCGGATGCCCTCCATTCAATCAGGACTCATGTGCACTCTCCGCTCAACGCTGACGTCTGATTGGCACGAATGACCTCTTCGACCAATGACCATTGCGAGTCAGATCGGCCAAGACATTCTGGCGTGGTAGGTTGCTTTAGCACAGCTCTGTAGCTGGCACTCTAGGAGGTCATGGAAGGTAGCCAGCATAAATTCGAAGCGTGGCATACCTGCGTCCACCTCGGTCACTACCTCGATTGATTCTCTTAACAGCCGCTTTGTACAATGGATTTGATCGAATTCCTCCTCGAAAACGGGCCCAAAGATGTCGATGCTCCGGTATGAAGGAGTCACTTCCAACCCGCTCGCATTGCTGACGATCAACTGGATGACAGATCTTCGTTGATGTCGAGAAGCCAGGTCGAGCCATCTCAYGGCGAGAATATGCATCTTCTATCAAGCGACTTGCTGTGGGACTACGGGAGCTTGGTCTCAAGGACGGGGACAGTGTTGCGCTGCTCAGCTCCGGCGACATCACTTATTATGTCCTTGGCGACGGCGTAGTCGCCGCTGGCGGTGTCTTCTCTCCCATGGCTCCATACGGAAAGCGCGATGAGACCGCTCAGAAGATGAAATCAGCAGGCGCAAGCTGGGTCTTTGCATCGCCCGAGTACTTGGAAGACGCCACAGCAGCTGCTCAAAGTGTCGGTATTCCTGCATCCCAGGTCTTGCTATTTGATGGTCGATCCCCAGTGCCGGGATCTAACCACGGAACCTTTAGCTCTCTCCTTCATTCTGACGAGTCACTCTGGGAAGGTCACAACAGCCACGAGTCCAGCGATGATAGACCCTGCTATCGACTCCTCACTTCAGGTTCGACCGGGCCACCTAAAGGAGTCGAACTCACGCATGAAGTCATGATCGCGAGGTGCCAATCTATGCTGAATGACAAAAGTGAGACTAGACTGAGGACTCTCCACTGTTTGGATTTCCATCATGTCAGTGGTAATGTTGCATGCAATAGTGCAGTCTTGGGCCTTCATACCCTGTATTGCTCCAGACAAGAAGATGCGGTCTCGGTTATTGAAAACATCTCCAAGTTCAGCATTGGGAAAATTGTAAGTCAGTTCAAATAGGAGGGTGGTACCAACTGACAGCTTGATTGCATGGTCTGACCTCCTCTCACTGTCCCAAGAGGATCACCCTTAAACCAACCCAATCTTTGTCCACTGAGCAAAGATACGACATGCGCTGACCATTTCTGCCAATCTCTAGAGTATCTACCCCAAGCTGATGCTGGACATGATCACGGCCATCCAGACGGGAGTCCGAGGTGCAGAAGATCTTRCTTCTCTGCGATACTTAAATTGTGGCGGAAGCTCAGTGCCTGCATGGTCGCTCAAGACCATGCGAGACTTTCTCCCTGACTGCATGAAGCCCATGTCGTTGTATGGAAGTACAGAGGCCTTCTGCGTTACTGCGATCCCACCCGGCGTTGCTCCAATTCCAGGCTATGTAGGATGTTATTCACCAGAAATGGAAGTCACGTAAGATAGGGTCGTCCCAGAATTCGCACCTTTATATAGCTGACTCGCATACAGAATTATCGATCCCGAAACTCTGGAAGACGTAGGACCCGATGTTGACGGCGAGGTCTGTTGTAGAAATCCTTGGGTGTTCAAAGGATACTTCAACAACGAAGCTGCTACCAATGCGGCTTTCGTCGAGAATTCTCGGGGCAAATGGCRTCGTACAGGCGACAAGGGTCGCTTTGTCTCATCAGTCAATCAACTCGCCATTACCGGCCGCTACAAAGACGTCTTCGTTGTGGGCACCGAGAAGGTGTCGCCGGACCAAGTAGAGGCGGTTCTCGTCCAGCACGACGGGATTGCAGATGCTGGAGTTACTTCCACGCCGGACCAAGAACACGACGGCTTGTACAAGCCGATTGCATATGTGGTGGCGCCAGATTCTTCACTGACCGCACAAGATGTGGTTGACTTCGCGGCCGAACGTCTCTCCTCGTCCAAGGTTCCCACTGGCGGTGTTGTCTTTTGTGATAGGATTCCACGGACGGACGTGCTCCAGAAGGTTATGCGAAGGGCGCTGGACAATATCGATGGTCAGCCAAGGTCTGCGATGAACCTGACAGCTGCGCGGTAGTCATTGGATATGGCGAGTCTATCCTTCCAAGTTAGTTGGAATTGAAATGGGCTGCATAATCGGTTGTGATGTGCAGAAGTCACGGAAAGCGGTAGACTAGAGAAAATAAGTGAGGGAAAATCAATGTTCTATATAACAGAGCGCTTGCATTCATCAACTCCAGACCGGGAGAATGAGAACAGTCTGATCGTACCTGGGGCATCTGACCCTGCCGGGCCAGCTGACAGATGGTCGCTGGGAGTTGCTGCGTTAGTAGTCGAGCAATACTGGTGTCTAGCGATTCTGATTGTGGAAAAGTCGGTTTGAAATGTTTTTTTCGTTCATTTGGACTGATGTCATCCTTATTTAACACCAGCCTCATTCGTCATCACATATACACAAAGCTAACTCTCTACAATCTCGCGGAGACGGCACCAGAGCGCTTCAGGTCGAATCGGTCGTTGTTCATAACCTTCTCCCAAGCGGAAACGAAGTCCTTGGTGAACTTCTCCTTGCCATCAGCCGCACCGTAAACCTCAGCAATAGCGCGTAGCTCGGCGTGAGAACCGAATACCAGGTCGTTGCGAGTAGCGGTCCACTTCTTCTGACCACTCTTACGGTCAATACCGTCGTAAAGCTCAGAGGATCCGGCCTGCTTCCACTGTGTGTTCATGTCGAGCAGGTTGACGAAGAAATCGTTGGAGAGCTTGCCTGGGTTTTGGGTGAGGACACCATGGCTGGAGCCATCGAAGTTCTGGTTCAGGGAGCGGAGACCACCGACAAGAACTGTGAGCTCAGGTGCGGACAGGCCCAGGAGGTATGCGCGGTCGATGAGGATCTGCTCGGTGAGCACACGGTCGGTGCCCTTGCCATAGTTGCGGAAACCATCAGCAGATGGCTCGAGGTGCTTGAAGGAATCGGCATCGGTCTGCTCCTGTGTTGCGTCGGTGCGACCAGGTGTGAATGGAATCTGAACGCCGGAGGTGTGCTCGATACCAGCGGATCCAGCAAGAACGACAAGATCGGCGATGGAGACCTTCTTGCTACCAGACTGGGCGTTGAAGTCCTTCTGCACACCCTCGAGGGCGGACAGAACCTTGCTCAACTGAGATGGGTTGTTGACCTTCCAGTCCTTCTGGGGCGCGAGACGGATGCGACCGCCGTTGGCACCGCCACGCTTGTCGGTGCCACGGAAAGAGGAGGCAGAAGCCCAGGCGGCGCTGATGAGAGCAGTTGGCTCAACACCGGTGGCGATGATGGCCTTCTTCAGCGCTGCAACATCGTTCTTATCAATGGTGGCATAGTTCGCGGCGGGCACTGGGTCCTCCCAGATAGCCTCCTCCTTGGGGATCTCGGGTCCGTACCAGCGCGAACGTGGGCCCATGTCACGGTGCAGCAACTTGAACCATGCCTTGGTGAACTCCTCCTCGAGCTTCTTTGGGTTCTCAAGGAAGTCACGGGAAACCTTCTCATACTCTGGGTCGAAGCGAAGAGCCAAGTCAGAAGTCAACATGGTTGGCTTGTGCTTCTTGTTGGCATCGTACGCGTCGGGAATGATGAGGTCGTCGGTCTTGGCCACCCACTGGTTTGCACCGGCAGGAGACTTGGTAAGCTCCCACTCGTACTTGAACATGTACTCGAGATACTTGTTGCTCCATTTAGTTGGGGTGCTGGTCCAGGTGACCTCAAGACCAGAGGTGATGGTGTCTGGGCCCTTGCCGGATCCGTGCTTGTTGGTCCAACCGAAGCCTTGCTCCTCAAGGCCCATAGCATTTGGCTCGTTGCCGATGTTGTCGGAAGACGCAGCACCGTGGGTCTTGCCAAAAGCGTGTCCGCCGGCAATGAGAGCAACAGTCTCTCTGTCATTCATGGCCATGCGGCCGAATGTCGTCCTGATGTCCCGGGCAGATGCAACGGGGTCGGGCTTGCCGTCTGGGCCCTCTGGGTTGACGTAAATCAAACCCATGTGGGCCGCAGCGATGGGCTGCTCCATCTCACGGCCGTGGATGTCGGTGTGTGCCTTCTTGTGTTGGTCACCATCCACGACACCGTGGCCATCGAGACCCTCTTTGCCGTCAGAATAGCGGACCTCGTTACCCAACCAGGTAGTCTCGCCACCCCAGTAGACCGACTCATCGGCCTCATATGTGTCGGCACGGCCACCAGCAAAGCCGTGTGTTGGAAGTCCCATGGACTCAATGGCAACGTTACCCGTGAGCAGGAACAGGTCGGCCCACGAGATCTTGCTGCCGTACTTCTGCTTGATTGGCCATAGCAGTCGTCGTGCCTTGTCAAGCGAGACGTTGTCGGGCCAGCTGTTGAGGGGAGCGAATCGCTGCTGACCCTCACCGCCACCACCACGACCGTCACCCACGCGGTAGGTACCGGCGCTGTGCCATGCCATACGCACGAAGAGTCCACCGTAGTGACCGAAGTCGGCCGGCCACCAATCCTGTGAATCGGTCATGAGGGCGTGGAGGTCCTTCTTGAGGGCATTGTAGTCTAGGCTCTGGAATGCCTTGGGGTAGTCAAACGTCTCGCCGAATGGGTTGGTGACGGGTGTGCGCTGACGGAGGATCTTGACATTCAGACCGTTTGGCCACCAATCGTCGTTGCGGGTGCCACCACCACCGACATTGGCTTTCTTGATCGGACACTCGGCCATTTTGTGTGATGTGATTGTGAAAGTTCGTAAAAAGGTTGTGTTCAGAGCAGGTCGAAATGTGTGTGGGGAGAAGAAGGAAGGTCGGGTGCGTGATGCAATGGACATGTTTCCCACGGGAACAATATATTTGAAGGTCGAGGTTGCCTCCGAATAGCATGGTCGACCCCGCTGCCGAGAAAGGAAAGGCTGGAGGGAGCTTCGTCTTTCCAATCGCCTCGCACATCATCCTGGCACCCAGAAATCGGCCAACAAGCTCGATTCACTCGCTCTTTCATCCTCAATCGGGTGTAAGATAGCGATACGCAATTGCCGTGAAGGTTCATTACTTTTCTCCTTCGCCATTCGCTTGATCTCACCATTGTGGGTCTCCTCCATCACTGTCCATCCCACTTAGTGCTGGCATCATCGGCGGAGAACCTTGCCACGCTCGGCTTTACCTCCTACGCAGCATGGCAACAGGCTCATTGCATGGCCAGAATGTTGGAGCTCCAAGTGCTGCAGGCCAATGACAGCTCGTACATATCGAACATGACAGGCGATTTCATGGGTGCCACCATCGAAGTTCTTCACCAATTCTCGTGTGGCCGGAACGTGGAGCATTCCCTGCCCCACCGACATAGCTCGCCACCTCGCTGCTCGCTGCACTTCTGACGATACCAGGTATGCAATTGATAACAAAGGCGGAACTCTTTCTTTGCTTGCCACGCATTGTATTAAAAACGTTCGTTTCTCTGACGACGTGACCTGTCTGAATGTTACGAAAGTAGTGACCATTTGATATAGAGCTCATAGCCATGGATCATACCTATGAATCAAGTCGTCATGTGTGTTGCGGATCTATTGCGGTACCGTGTAAGCTGCTACTTTCTGTGCGAAGATTTGCTACGTTGTAAGTGTTCGAGCATTCACCTACAGCTTGCCAAGCGTCGCCCTATCCCGAAGATGGCCATTTCTTGAATCAGGATCATCTGTTAATGTTATAAGTTGTATATTGGATGCTATGCTATAGGAAGAGCAGACGGTTTCCATAACTTTGATGCAGGGATTGGCAGCTCTTCGCTTGGCATCAACTTGATTGGCACCAAACATGGCTTCACCAAATGATAAATCTAAACAGTTTCGAAATGCTTTGGTGGGATATAACAAAGACGGATCATTCGTAAAGTGGTTGGGTGGTGCATGGTGTTGCACGTGTACATCAATCTGGGCCCCTTCTTACAAACGGTCTTCCCCTCTGCACAGACGATATATACGCGGGTCAACAGTGTAGGTACTATTCGAAGTAGGTACTATCCAAAGTATACCGCCATGTGAGTTGAATGAGACACAAGTGTGAGAGCTTCTTCGGAAGATTCATGTAATAGAAACATGCACTATTTCATAGCCAACAATCTACAACTTTGCCTTGCTTGCCTGTCTTCCAAGCTGCAAGATATCTCTGTTCTCAAATCCATATGCTCTGCACATCTCCGCAGTCTTCGCCTTCTGCGCCTCAATCTTGGCGAGACAGGCCTTACCCCTCTTGTTCTCGTTCCTGCCCATCTGCAACAAGTGCACCTCATCCGGACCGTCGACAATTCTCATCGTACGACCGTGTGCCCACATGTTGGCGAGCGGAGTCTCTTGTGATACACCAGCACCGCCGTATGCCTGAATAGCATCATCGATGATCTTGAGTGCGATCTTAGGGACGAAGATCTTCGCTTGAGCAATCTCCTTGAGCGCGTACTTGGCGTCCTTGGTGTCGATCATGATTGCAGCGTTGCAGACGACAAGACGGGCAGCGTCAATGTCGACACGAGCCTCGGCGACGCGGGTCAGCATCACACCGTGCTCACTCAGCTGCTTGCCGAAAGGAGTCTTGCGTGGGTCGTTGAGGCGCGCGAGCATCCACTCAAGAGCACGCTCAGCAGCACCAATGCTACGCATAGCGTGATGGATACGTCCGGGTCCGAGACGGCCCTGGATGACCTCGAAACCACGTCCCTCACCGAGACACATGTTCTCTGCTGGGACGCGGACGTTGTTGAAGGTAATGTGTCCGTGACCGTGAGGAGCATCATCGAAACCGAAGACTGACAACATGCGGTGGATAGTGATGCCAGGAGTGTCGTGGGGAACGAAGATGACAGACTGCTGCTTGTATGGGCTCTTCTCCTGAGGGTTGGACTTGGCCATGACGATGTAGATCTCACAGCGCTTGTCACCAGCTCCAGAAGACCACCACTTCTGACCATTGAGGACGTACTCGTTGCCCTCTCTCCTCATGTCCAAACCAATGTTGGTGGCGTCTGAGGAGGCGACATCGGGCTCGGTCATGAGGAAAGCACTGCGGATCTTGCCCTCAAGAAGTGGCTTGAGCCATCTGTCCTTCTGCTTTTGTGTGCCGTACTTGGCGAACACCTCCATGTTTCCAGTATCTGGGGCAGCACAGTTGGTGGCCTCTGAGGCAGTGTGACTCTTTCCAAGGTACTCAGCCATGAGGCCGTATTCCAAGTTGCTGAATCCAGCACCCTCCTTGAAGTGGTTCTTGGGCAAGAACATGTTCCATAGCCCCAGCTCCTTTGCCCTCTTCTTGAGATCCTCAATCACTTGTGGGTGGGCTGCGAATCGCTCCTCTGTGGTCTGACCAATCTGCTGGGCATATACGGGGTCGGCAGGGATACATTCTTCCTCGACGAACTTCTCGACCTGGTGAGTGAGATATGTGTCAGCAGATGCTACATGATCACTCGAATGAAGGCTCTTAACATACAATGTCCAATGTCTTAAGAGCACGTTCGGAAACGAATGGACGGGCGATCACTGGGATCCTGTCGCTGGCTTTGCCTGCATTGCTGCTACCAACGAGCAGCTCCTGGCTGGCCTGGATCTTGTATGGAACCGACATGATGGTAACGAGAGAACRGCAGAGAAGAAAGTGGTATGTGTCGAATGTCGATGACAATTCGATGTCTACTGGAACTATGGGAGAGATGTAAGACGCTCTAGTACAGATGTCGCCGTCAACTAAAGCCGAGGTCGATCTGTGGAGTTGTGGAGTGCCCCGAAGCCGCGGCCAGAAAACGTGCCAGGGTCTTCCTTAGCCGGATTCGGTTCAGCCTAAAGGGGATTGGCGTTGAGATGATTGAAGACACACCTCGTGGTTTCCTCTTCATCATCATGCCATGCGATGCTCTCACGCCCTACGATGCCGTCTCTCAGTGAATGCAAGACGATGAGGCTGGAATCCAAGCCCATTTCGTGGAGCCTCAAGGCATACAATCACGCGTGAACCTCGCATAAACTGTTGGTCCGGCCAAGGACTGAAGGGGCTGTCTGGCCAGTTGCAGTGTTCGAAAGCCGCCGGAACTACCAACAGAAGACGACTAATGACTTGAGCATGGGAGAAGATCATGTTCATTATTGAATTCCGCTTCTAGTATGATATTAATCATTAGGGGGAGGCACAGCGGTGGGAAACCCCAGCAATCAATCCGCGAGAGACTGCTTCCGGACTCTCCGCTCTCCAATGCTGCACCTCGCATCATCAAGTCGATACAGACTTCAGGCCTCATGGCTCAGATGTAAGCCAACGCTACAAAGACCATGCCAGCACCAGCCCAGAGCATCGGGATTGCCATCGCCATAGCTCCGCCATCAGATGCCGGAAGGTCGTTGTTACCATTGGCGTCATTGTTTCCATTGCCGTTGCCTGAGTTCGATGATCCGGCGCCTGTACCCGTCTGGCCCGTTTGAGTGGCTTGGGGACCCCGAGTGCCAGTGGATGTGGTGGTGAAGAATGAAGACGTAACGGTACTGCCTGAAGCATCGGTCGTGGTAGCTGTTACAGGAACCACAGGAATCGCGCCTGTCATGACACGAGTGCGGCAGACATCATCTACGAGGGTGTCAGCCTGAATTATCCACAGGGATCTATCGAAGCACTCACCGTTGTCAGGAGTATCACGGTCATCATCGAGGTCGTTGTCGTTATCAAAAACATCATYGTCGCAGCTGCAAAGCACATCAGCTCTCTCTTCTCATCGATCGGAATCGTGGATTGATCGCAGGACAGATTCGGCTGCTTCTGCTCTACTCACATAGTCGTTGTGTATACACCAGTCGACATCGAAAGAGGAGGAGTTGGCGCCGAGGTGATGGATGCACCAGGAGCAGTGGTTGAGTTGCCGCCGAAAGCGCATCTGTTGTACCAGTTGGCGACCTCGTTGTCGTCGTTGTCGTTGACGTCGTTGATATCGTCGTTATCGTTATCGGTGCTACGCTTATTAGGACTGGACCTGTCTTCGAAGAGTAGAGATGACACTTACTCAACGAAGAATTGGGGATAGCGGAGAGTGCATTCGTTGCAAGTCGCAAACGACGCGTTGTTGGCTACATCGCAGATGCAGTCTCGCTCCCTTTGATCGTTGTCGAAACTTGCAAAAGTGTCAGTATGTGTGTTCTCCTGGGCCACTCTGCCCAAGACTTCGGCTGGACTGATACGAACTTGCAGCGGCGGCTTATGTCAATTACGGGCTCGCAAATGGAGCGACATTCCTGGGGAATGTCCTGGGAAATGTGTTAGAAGATTCTCTCTCGGCTATTGAAGTCGCGGAACTAACATTGCGCTCAATCTCTTGAGCGGCCACAAAGGAAGCGGCTGCGAGTGCCAGGACGATCTTGTTGTTGAGCATTTTGAAGCAGTCGGCTGCTGAGATTAAAGGTTTGGAGTACTGATGTGTAGGAAAGATGTCTGATGGTTTCAAAACACAGTTCGGCGAGTGCTGTAGTTATAGCCGATGAGAGGACGACATTACGCCCCGGCTACTTTATAGGTATGCAGGCCAATGGGTCCGCGACTCCGCGAATGCCCAGTGACCACTGAACGTCACCGTCTGGCTCCAAGAATCCGGTCAACGCAAGCCGACTCCGCCATGGCGACAAGAAAGGCTCAACATGGCTTGTGCAAGGTCCATCCATCGTCTGTGCATATCTCCAGCGGTACTCGTTGTCTCAAACTCTTGGAACCAGGAAGCTCGTCAGAAGAAGAGTCTTCGCTGTAGCTCTGCCAAGGGCTGAAAGTGTTTCAGGTCGGGCAGTTTCTCTGCCTGAGCCCCCCGGACACGGTACGACCCCAGCACATCCTTCCTGACTTCGCCTACTGAAATACGTAAGCTTGAAAATCGGCAAAGATGAGCCGAGAGATGATGTCGATGCGAATGGTGCCGCCCAGAAGTCTTGGCTGATATGAGCCACTCTGGGAGTCCGGGGTCAACGTCACAAACCTTGTTGCTTGTTGCGCTAGTATCTTGGTATCCCCTCCGACGGCGGTGAAGCGGAGGATAGGCAATTACTAAATTGGGCTCTGTACAGTGGGATTGTTCAAGCTATCTGAGAAAAGGCTATGCTATGACAAGAATGTCAGGTGATGAAGCACGTKAGACTAAAGCCCTTCGTGCCAAATTTAGTACATCTTGCATAGGACGTTGAGCTGTGGAAAAGGCTCGGGGGATAGAGCAGATCGATCGTTTGATGCTACCGCCTACTACTCTACAAGGTTGCAAGCCAAGCTGTATGTCATCACGTTGGAACCAGGATTAAAGGTTGGATGTAATTTGACTGTCGCACAGACTTGACAAAATCGATCGATACGCTACCACATCTCCTAAAGCTCCTGGAGAACCCATTGCCTTGAGTGGCCACCAGCGATGGGGAGTCTCACAGCCAGTAAGCAGGTCAGACGAGGTCAAATGGTGATATCAGCCGACTCAACGCGATTTTCATAAAGCTCATATCAATATTCGTGCTGCGTCTACCTAACATCATCAACTTAAAATCATCAACTTAAAATCATCGACTTAGCAGCATCAACATAGGATCGTCAACATCTGCATCGCATCATCAACCCAGCATCATGAACGACACAGCAAGCACAGAAACCACTCCCAACAACGGAACGGTCGTAGTACCTGCTGCGCCTCGCCATCTTCCATCTCTGTCCCCGTCTCTGTCTCCATCCCTATCCCCGTCTCTGTCTCCATCCCTGTCCCCATCTCTATATCTGTCGCCGTCTCTATCGTCTCCGTTAGCATATCTTCCTGCTCCATAGCCGTTTCCATCCCTGTACTGTCCGTCATCGTACCTGCYGCCTTCATCGCCATCGACACGTCCATCGCCGTTGTTATCGACTCCACGATTTCCACCATCATTGCYACGATTCCCGCCGTTTTGATCAGGTCCACCACCCTGACGCTTGTTGACCTTCCAGCCACCGTCAGACTTCTGCCAGCGGTTGTCATTTTGCTGCCAGTCGTCATCATCTCGCTGCCAGTCGTCGCCATGCTGCTGCGATCGTCCGCCTCCCGAGCAGTGGGGTGGAGCTGAAATGAAGTTCCCATCGCGWTCATACTTGGGATGGTTGTTGTAGTAATCACAATCCTCATCGCGATCATTATCATCATCATTTCCATACTTGGGAATTGCACCCCCGTATGGATGATCTCCGTCGTATGAGGGGGCATTGTTGTTGTTGTCGTGATTCCACTTGCCCTCGTCATATTTCCCTCCTTTGGGACCTTTGAGCGCACCGGCATTGGGTGGTCCTGGCGGTCCTGGCTGTCCTGCCGGTGGTGGTGGTCCGGCTTGAACAGTGCCGACTGCCACAGATGTGAGGACGATAAAAGATTGAATCTTCATGATGATCAGGCTGCTTGACTTTGATGTCGAAGTAAAACTGTTGCTTGGAGGATTCCAGTCTTCCAGCGGATCGTCAACATCTTATATCTTTCTTTCTTCAGGTATCTGGACCAACTTGCAAGGTCAAAAGCTCGAGAAGTTCCATGTTGAGGCTGGCAAATGACAGGCATCCTGCAGTACAATCCCTCAAATAGCAGAAGACTATACATAGCCAGATGTTGGTCCTGGCTTTACGATTTGACATGATCAAGGTCAGCTTCCAATGCCCCGCGGTGCTGTAGGGTGGCTGCGTAGCCATGAAACGAGTGCATGTGGCGGAGGGACGGTGAATCCAGATTTAGAGCTCTACCAAGAGCGAGAATCGCATCATTCGCAATGTGTTCATTCACAGGTGGAGCTATACCATGTGAGCCAAGACGGACATGAAACAAGTGACAGGGTTTGAGGAATGGGATGATTGACTTGGCAAGTGGGCAGTACTTTTAGCTTTCGGTGGTTTGGGTACTCGACTGACGGTGATGTGATGTCAAGCAGAGTGCAAATCATGAACACGTCAGGCTCGCTGGCCATCGCGATGGAGATGCTGCATGTACAGCATGAAATATTGTCCTTCAGATCGTGTGATTCACAAAGGAGCTCGTGCTTGTTGAGTGCCAGCGCGACGGGAATCTTGGCCTCTGCAGAGCCTGTATCGATCTCAGCGGTGCGAAATGACGCTCTGCTCTTGAAGGAACTGAAAGAAGGCCAGCTTCCTTATTGTTAGGAGAGGCGATGTTGATGATGTTGGCAGCAGAGGCCGATGATGAGTGGAAGTGGAACATCGGCGTCTTCGACTTTTGGCCGTGACAGAAGTCGCGTCATTCGAGGTTCCCGTCACTCCGCACATGAAGGGGAACTTCCACATGCAGCTCACGCTCTCACAATCACGTCTGCGGCGCACTCTTCAGTCAAAGATTACTCGTAGACGTCGAGCTCGTAAGTGGGATCTCTCTTTGCGCCTGTCTGCTGTCACACAGTACATTCACCCGTCGCGCAATGGACGATCAAGATCCAGAGATTGAGCAGGAGAACGACGATGCGCTGCAGGACTTTCTAGGCACCACTTCCTTTGGCAAGCAGAAGCGGCAATCAAATGTGGGCAAACAGGTGGAGCTGAGTAAACGGCCAACAGCAGTGGTGGCAGATGGATCAAGAGGGGATGAACATGGCAGCAAGGCGGATGGCGCGAATGTGAAGGACTCCGAGAAGGATTCAGACGACGACGACGACGACGAAGATGACGATGATAGCGACGATGAGGACGAATTCCCCGTCTCACATGAAATGGTGATCAAGACACACGACCGCGCCATTACCGCGGCGACCCTGGACCCATCTGGAGGCAGATTAATCACCGGTTCCATGGACTGCACGCTCAAATTCCACGACTTCGCCTCAATGACACCAACAACCATTCGCGCATTCAAATCGGTAGATCCAACTGCTACCAAAGGCGCCGCGAATGTGGAAACACATCCAGTTCACCAAGTCCTCTTCAATCCTCTATCTGCCCAACATGTCCTGGTCGCTACAGCTCTCCCGCAAGCAAAAATCATGTCCCGCGATGGCGAAGTCGTCGCCGAGTTTGTCAAAGGCGACATGTATCTGCGGGACATGCACAACACAAAAGGACACATTTCCGAGGTTACGACCGCTACATGGCACCCTACGGATCGTAATTTGTGTGTCACAGCAGGCACAGACAGTACTTTGAGGATCTGGGACGTGAATCATGCGAGACAACAAAAGGAAGTGATAGTCCACAAATCGCGGGCTGCAGGATCGGCTGGTCGGACTCGCATGACAGCTGTGGCCTGGGCTTCTCCACTGCAAGGTGGTAACAACCTCCTCGTGGGAGCCGCACTGGACGGCAGTCTCGTCATGTGGGCAGGCGAAGGACCGTACTCTCGTCCTGCTGCGGAGATTCGCGACGMACATGTGAAAGACACCTGGACCAGCGGCCTAGCCATCAGCCCTGACGGTCGCAGTGTTGTTACTCGAGGCGGTGACGATACCATCAAACTCTGGGACACTCGCAAGTTCAAGTCTCCCATCACGACGGTCTCCCACACCTCGACATCCTCTCAATACTCTACAACCAACATTGCCTTTTCTCCAACGGGAGCCAATATCTTGACGGGCTCGGAAGAGGGCAATTTACACATTCTCAACCCCGCCACACTCCGTCCAGAGCTCGTCACGCCTGTCACTCCTGGAAGTCCGCTGATAACAGTCCTCTGGCATCCAAAGCTCAACCAGATTCTCACCGGGTCCGCCAACGCAGAGGCTCATCTACTTTACAACCCCAACACATCTCTCGCGGGCGCGAAAACGGTCATGTCCCGGGCCCCGAAGAAGCGACATGTAGACGACGATCCCAACTTTACAACTGATCTGTCGCATGGTATCTCTGGGGATGCCATTATTGTGCCAGGTTCGGGGTCTGTTCCCAGCGCATCGACCTACGCAAGCCGACATCCCACAGTAGGACTCACGGCCAGCGGCAAATCGAGGGATCCCAGACGACCGCACGTKCCTGTCGTAACTCCCTTCGCAAAGGGCAATCCAGACGAGGACTATGTGAAGAATCACATTGCACTATCTGGGCTGAGAGATGAAGATCCTCGGGAAGCCCTGTTGAAGTATGCCGACAAAGCGAAGAATGATCCGATGTTTACGAACGCGTGGAAGACGACGCAGCCCAAAACCATCTATGCCGAAGCATCTGACGATGAGGACGAAGAGCCGGCTGCCAAGAAGGTGAAGCAATGATGCCGAGATGAGCTTACACGCACCCTCTAGCGATCATGGTAAAGACATTTACTTTGGTATCCCCTCGATGTGTCTCTCCCCGGCGGCAGCTGGAGTGGTAAGTGCAGATCACATGAACAAAGTCGTGCTGTCTATAGCTAAACAATAGAACCGATGAACGCTTCTTGAAGTCGACCATTACATGTCATCAGGCTAGATACTCAAATCGATGCTCAGACCGGTCATACAACGGTGAGACAATATCGTTTACGCTTCCGGAGCTTCACCACGCAGCTTGGCCTCCTCCTTTTCGAGCACCATCACCGTGTCTAGTATCCAATTCTTCTTCTCCTTGTCGGTGAACCGCGGATAAGGTCGACGACAATCTCTCGATCCCTCAGGATAACCCAACAGCTCAGAGACCACCCATTTTGTGCCGTTAATACCACCATCACCAAAACCCAACTCCATCTTGCCGAGTTCAAACTGTATTCTTTGCGCTTCTTGGAGCTTGCCCGCTCGGTAGAGGTCGAAAATGGCCACACAAGTCCTCGGGTATAGGTTTGCAACTCCGGTGATGCAACCTGTTCCGCCGACGGATAATGCGGGCACAAGCCAATCACTCTGTCCAGCTAATGCGGAGAACTGTGATGGCTTGACGGATGCTGCAATTCGGGTCACTTTGGCGATGCTTCCRCAGGTCAACTACGGTATGCTGTCAGTACTCTTGGTGACCATTGGCATCTTCAACTACACTCACTTTGACTCCGACGATATTCTTATGTCTTGCCAAACGATCTAGCATAGGACTATCCAGGTTCAAACCAGCAGCAACACCAGGAAAGTTGTACAGCAACAGAGGCAATGGACTGTTCTCGGCCACTTCTTCAAAGAATCCGCAGATGGCATCCTTGGACATGGCAAAGTGGAAGAAAGCCGGCACAAGCACCAGGACATAATCCGCGTTGGCCTCCTTCGCGGCCACGCAATCATCGATGACATCTCTCGTGCTTCCACTGGGGTTCGTTCCAACAGTGATTGGTAGATCCGATCTTCCGTGCTCGTGGGCTACTTCTCTGGCCAGGACTGTCAGGCGAGTCTTCTCCGTGCGAGTCAGAGTGACTGCCTCCCCATTGGTACCAGCGAGAACGATTCCATGAATTCCTGATTTGACCAGGAAAGCAAGGTGTCGCCGTTGGGTGTGCCAATCGATCTCCTGGCGCGGAGAAGAGTCGAAGAAAGTCAGTGAAGGGACATGGATACCAGGCGGATACGCCGAGACGTTGCCATTGGAGCCGCCGTATTCATTTGAAGGCATCTTGTTTTTCGCGGCTGATGCTGTCGGAGTCAGATGCGAAAGAGCGAGGTTGAGCTGCAAACTACATTTATCCTACAATGGATGTGCTCATCGCCTTCGGCAATTGCTTGCCCGATATTCAATGTCGACCTTCGACAAGTGGAGCCATGATGTGGATGTTATGTCGGCGTCTGACGGTTCGGCAGTACAATAGGCGAATGCATCTTCCCCACAATATCACATCCCCTGTCTGCGGTTCATTATCATTGGGGGAGCGGAGGTGGAGCACTTCCCCAAGACCCCCCACAGCTCCTCTTACGCCAATCAAGCATCGAAAGAGTACGACATGTGGAGTTAGATTTACCCATCAGGTTCAGGTTGCAATTTCTCGCCTCAGTTTCCTGATTACTCTGCCGAACAAGCCTGTCACTGGAGTCGTATCGGATGCCTACTACAGTACTACACATTCTGTGCGCAGGATTGTGTGCAACAGCATCATGGGTTTCCAAAGAGCAAAGGAAGATCGACCAACACCGCGAGAAGTATACAATGTCAAAGTGTATGCGGCTGCCATCATAATTTCGCTCGGGGTCCTAGCCTACGGTTACGATTCATCCTTCATTGGCACGACGATAACGCAACCTGCTTTCAAAAGGGATTTCGGCCTCGATGACATGACAAAGTCTGAGCAAAATGCCGTCAGCAGTAATCTTACCAGCATCTGTATGTTCAGTTCTGTTCTACAGTGCGCAATGGTTCTGACATTGCCTTTACAGATTCCGCTGGTGGTTTCTTTGGAGCATTCTTCATGTTCTTCTCGCTCGAACTCCTTGGTCGTTGGTGGACATTGGTCATTGCCAATATGATCTTCACGGTTGGAGCTATTCTATGCACTGTCCCAACGCATCAGATCGGCTTAGTCTACGCTGGACGACTTCTGACTGGTCTTGGAGTTGGCGGGATTGCGGCTGTATGTCCGATCTACGTTGCTGAGTTCGCTCCGCCTGCTATTCGAGGTCGATTGACGGGCTTCTTTGAGTCCTCTTATCAAATTGGAGCGGTATGTCGACTCCCTTTGTTTTGCTGATGATACTAACAATATTACCTAGTTGATTGGCTTCTGGATTAACTATGGAATTGTCAAAACCATCGACACCTCGTCCTCAACCGCATGGCGAATCCCAATGGGAGTCCAGCTGGTTCCTGCAGGCATGCTCGCAATAGGGATTCCATTCCTTCGAGAGTCTCCTGTCTGGCTCCTAAAACAAGGACGTGACAACGACGCCGCTCGCGCATATAGCTACTATCGCAACTTACCAGCCGACCACGAGTACATTGCTCAAGATATTCAGTTCGTCAAGCGAGAAATCGAAAGCGAGAGAAAGAAGTCCGTCAACGGGCGGCTATCATTTCTCAACTTCCTCAAAGATGCCGCTAGCGAGGCCTCCATGAAGGGCATGCGCAACAGGTTCGGGCTTGTTTTCCTCATGTTCATGTGGCAGGCCTGGAGCGGAGCGGCAGCGATCAATTACTACAGTCCCACTATCTTCACTTCGATAGGCTTGACCGACACGACGTTATGGACTGGCGTCTACGGCCTGATCAAAGCAGGAGGCTCAATCATCTTCTTCACATTCTTCATCGACACCTTTGGGCGGAAGATGCCTTGGATCGTCTCGTGTCTCGCTTGTGCTGCTTGTCAGTATTACTTGGCAGGTTACATCGCGGTGGGAGCTCCTGAGGCCGGCGCCGGAATGAGCCCCAGCACCGTCGCTGGAGGCAAAGCCGCGACGGCTGCGATCATGATCTTTGGAGCGACGTGGTCTTTTGGAGCAAATGGTTTACCTTGGATCATTTCGAGTGAGATTTTCCCGTCCTCTCTACGAAGCATCAGTGGTCCGTGGGCCGGAATGAGTGTTTGGTTGTGGACGTTTGTCGTCACGAAGGCTTTGCCTTCAATGTATACGAGCATGGGATATGGTGTGTATATCTTCTTTGCTAGTATGCTTGTTCTGGCATCGGTTTACGCATGGTTCTTCATTCATGAGACGAAAGGGTTGCGTCCGGATCAGATGGATGGCTTGTTTGGTTTTGAGAGATCGAGTGCGAGTTCGGCAGACGATGTTGGAAAGGTTGACAGTTGGGATCCTGATGTTGATGTTGATGCGAAGGTCAGCACGACACGGATCGAAAGAGTCTAGAAGTGGATTGAGTGGAAGTGGGAAGCACTTTTCTTCCCTCGCTCTCGACACAGTCCTAACCTTGGGAAAGTTCGGAGGTCCTTCAATTCGCAAAGACCCCTCTCAAGTAGAAGGTGGTCGAAAGATCAATCGCAATCGTCTTCCTCTGCTTTCGGAATGCCGCTCTCCCATGTACCTACCGCCACCAAATCTAGCCATTCCGAGACTCTCCGACAACTCCCACAACAACAGGCTGCGGGGTGACAAGGCCCCCTCTACACTGTTCGCCAACCAAAAACGCCAGCCGCTGCATCACGTAAACTCCCCCTCGTTGTACCTAGGCAGACCGGCATCTTTCAATTCCGCAGAACCAGGTCGCGTGATGCAATGTAAGAAAATCAAGCACTCATCATCATCTGCATGCAAACAAGCATCGAGCTCTGCAATTCTTGTCTTACATCAGCTCCATTGAGACCGGTTACGTTACTGTGGATCTTTCTCGAAACTTGACCAACGATCCCGCCGAACAAACTAAGACTTGAATTCCGCCCAGGCAGAGATCACATATCTTACCAGACCACATTGTCGGCATTTCCCCATTGAAACAATTTTGTCGGAGTCTGCGAGATATATAGGGAAACGCAGAGCTATCATGACACATTTCTTCCTCATGGAGCCGCAACAATCCTCAATATATCACACTCTGGGCCGACCGACCCGTCGCACATCCAGCACATCCCAAGTCGACCCGAAACGATCAAATAGCATGCCTAGCTTGGAAGGCAGTTCTAGCCCGACTGATACTGTCGCCTCCGACACAGGTTCGCGCCACAACAGTACAACTCTTCGCACTTTCTCTCATGTACCCGGCACTGCAGCAGTGGAGCGAGCACGTCCAGCACCCTCAGATGCAGATATCATATTAGTACCTGTCAAATTGGAGAACAAATTTCGCAAATCTTCCATTGATGGAGCAGAAGATCTTCCAGGCCGGTAAGAAATGCTAGTCCTCAATCCGTTGTCGTCAATGCTGATGTCGTAGCCCTGCACCTCGATCATTCTTTCGCCGGCTATCTACTCGAGTAGCGCCTGGCTATGATAATGCGGCGGCAAGGGAAGAGAAGTATCAAATCATCAAGATGCCACGAGAAGATTATAAAAGATTCTTCCAACGTGATCAAAATGGGAATTATGCCGGCGAGGAGGAGGAGAGGACCTGGTGAGTTTTGGTTTGTCTTGTTTGTTCGGCGTACTAACAACCATTGGATAGGGATGAAGAAGAACTGAATAGAGAATTTGGCGCATACCAGGATGCACCGCTGGGTTCTAGAGTATGACGATCAACTTACGTTGTGGCCAAAGGTTGTATATTGTGTAATAATGCAAAGCTCTGCTATGGATGTCAGCTGGCCAATATGAATGTCTTTGTCTATGCGTACACGAGTCATCAGTAGATATCCATCGCTTCTTCCTCCTCACCATTGAGTCATAGCATGACTCCMTCGAACTGATCGTTAAGTGGCAATTGAATGCTGCAGTTCTGAATTCCTTGCTTAGCACATTACGACGCACTTCAGCAGTCTGGTCGAGTCACCGCATCGCAAGCGACGACTGCAAAGGAGCACTGTGGGCAGCCATGTGCCAATGCTCTGCAACGCMATATCATCGAGGCGAGGCCCGACTCTGTGGCCCTTGTCCCTGCCGTGCAACCAAGGCATGTGTCAAATACTTTGGTCCAGGTCCGGGATCGATCTCCCCCTGCGTACGTGCTTTAGAAGTGGTGTATCTATGCAACTCGCATGGGGCTGCGAGCATCACTCTGTTAGCCGAAAACTTTGTCTCACATCTTCCGGACTCAGCGCCTTGCTTCGGGCACGATGTGAAGCGTAGTACTCCTACCCATGCGGCAGCTCATTCTACACTCATCAGTTGCAGTAGCATTGGGCGTCAGGGCTCGTGCTCAGAATAGGCCATGCTTAGGCGTGTGACCGCCGTATAGGAAGATTGCGGTGCATGCGCCAGTATGAGGATTGTGATGGCATGGGCAATTTGTTTGCTGGGCCGTTTCCTGGAAACGGGCCAGATGCTCCAGATCACATGGACATGGAGATGCCTGCAGAAGAGGCGGCAGACGGCGAGCAAGGGACGGAGTTGGCTGCTGAGTGGACGTCATCTTCGGCTTAGCTTGGCTTAGGGCTCGTACGGTATTGGATTGAATCTAATTGACGCACGGATTAAGGTAGCGTTGTTAGTGCGTACGAAGGAGCCGTGGTTTAGAGCGTGTTAGTTCGAACTGTCGATATCGTTAATTAGAGCTCGTGTTCGGTATTTAATTAATAACTAGTAATTAAGAGGGTAGCCGATAGCCGTACGCTTATTACTTTATTATCTATCCTTCGTTATTATTACTTCGGTAGCTTCTTTATAAGTAGCTCCTTTATCGTTAACTATAGAGTCGTAATTAATAGAGTTCTTATAGTCCGTTTATCCTCTTAATACGTCGTAATAATAGCCTTCTTCGTAATAGTAATATCTACCGTAAACCCCCCTTCGATAGGCTACCCCTCTAGCCTATAGTCGCTACCGCCTTCGGCTTAATAATACGTTATAGAGCCTTCGGCTTCGTAACTATAGCGGTTTATATAGAACGTTACTAAGATAGAGAAGCTGCTCGAAGAGGCGAATAATTAGGTAGAGGCTAGTATACGAGTAAATAGCGGAATTAAGGACTAGGCTCTAACTACTATCGTAGCTATAGTAAGAGTAGTTACTACGCCTTCGAGAGAGGCGTTCTTTACGAAGGACTCGTATAAGAATAAGCTATAGTCGTTTAAGTTAAACTAAAAGGTATAGACTAAATTAACGAGTGTCTTTAGCGCTAGTATCGATCCGGAGACTAGAGTAGTTATACTACTACTAGAGGTAAAGGAAGCGTATCTTCGTATATATAAGGGCGTAGCGAAGTTCTTTCGAAAGCCGCTTTAATTTGCTATAGAGTATAACTAGCTGTTTAGTAGTACGGCTATAWCTAGCGTTTACGCTCGTGCTACTAGCCTTACTATCTTAAACCTTATTAATTCGAATAGTAAGGACGAGAGCTTAGGCGTAGATATCGATATTAATAAAGCGATAGCTCGGCGGCACGTTATTAATACGATAGATCGCGCTAAGAAGAATACGAAGAGGTAGAAGAAGGAGGATATTATAAGTAATAACATAGCTAGTTTAATTAGTATTTAACGAGAGCCGCTCTCTATTCGAATACCGGATACTCCTCTAATATAAGGGTAGAAAAATATAGCAATATATCGACTACCTTCGATTACTCGATTAGAGATAAGACTAATTCTTATAGGTCGATAATGCGCGGTACGCGAGGAAGTAGGAGTCGCTTCGTATACGCTAAGCCGGCTATTACGGAAGCTTTCCTATTCCTCCTTTAACGTAGCTCTACGCTACGGTTAACCTTAGTCTATAACTACTTATAAGGTAGGCCTTACCTAGCCCTTATAATTACCTCCTCTCCCTATACGAACTAGCCTTAGTTTAGAGATCTATAGAGTACGCGTCGTAAGCGCCCCGCGGACGATGCGCGCTCGGCTTCTATACTACTTAATTCTCCTATACTTTTTTCCCGAGGAAAAGCGATAAAGATTAAAGGGTCCGCCTAACGAATTAATAAGTTTAAAACCCGTCCCTTAGCGTATTATATACGATCCGCTAGGGACTCGTAATACTAATAGCCGCTATATCTTTCTAAAGGCCTTAGGTCGGCCTTTATATAAATGCCCTATTAATTAGCCGGCTAAGGCTATATTAAACGTAATAATAATTAATATATATTTGTTCTAGTAGGCTAAAAGCCGTACTAAGAATAGCGAGGGTTTAATTCCCTTAATTGCTATAGCCGTAGTAAGGGTATAGATAATCGTCTTAATAGCTTATCGTAAGCGTATCGCCTCGTCGACTAATACGGATAGTATCTGTTAATCTCTAAGGTAAGCAGTTTATTATATTATTTACGTAGTAACTAAGCCGTAGCTAATAGTTTCGTAGTTCTTCGAACCTCTTTAAATAATAATAACTACTATATTAAGAATACGACTATACCTCCTAAGCGAGGAAAGCGCGCCGCGCCTACGAGTCCTCCGCTAGTTACCCTAGCGTCGAAACGCCGCGCTACTAGTAAGCCTAACTCTTACCTTACTTATATTAAGGCTATAGGAAAGGGTACCTCCGGTACTATTAACTATAATAAAGTGTTTAGTATAGCTCCTATAAAGTATGCTAAGTGCTTATAAGTTACTCGCCTCTACCTCGCTATCTGCTCGATCGCTAATATATCTAGTACCTCCTACTACGGATGCGATAAAGTAGAGCCTACGATATATACGCTTACTACTATCGTATAGCGTAAGTCTAACGCGATATTAGATTCGGATAATAAGGACTTTAAGGACGCGAAGCGTTACTTAAAGGCGACTACTACGGTATTCTCGAAGAAGTATACGGCTTTTAAGCGTACTAAGAAGAAGCGTCTTAAGGCTTTAGGCATGTCTTCTAGTAGTAGCGGTAGCGTTAGCTACGCTATAGTTAAGAGTAGCGCGCGCCTCGCTAATAATGTAGCTACAATTACTTAGGGTATTCGAGTTATAAGTCTTCCTTTCTCCTTTACGGTTCGATTATAAGTACGGCTAATCGTAGATTATAGTAGCTATAGATATAGAACTAGAGTTTAGATGCTTTCGATACTACCCTTAGTAGAGATAAGTTAGAGAAGTCTTCTTCGGAGAGCGAGGAGGAACCTAGCGAGTCGCCTACGCCTCGTAGTAAAGTTAATCCCGAATTCGAGTTTTAGGGACCTACGTCTAATAACGGCGAGAACGGTCGTTAATAGCCTCCGCCTCTCTTACGCCTCGTATACGACTCTCTTAGAGAAATCTTCCGAAGTTTAAAGATTAACTTAAGTTATCTATAGTTAAATAGAAAGTGCTTTAATCTTGTAACTCTCTTTTTACTTCCTTTCTCGTAATATAATATAGTAGTTTATTACTTTTTTACTTACGCTTTAGAAGGGAAATCTCTTATTAATTTCTACTCTATATAGCGGCGTAACGACCTCGCTTACGAGGCGCCTTCGCTTCGAACCTATCGAGAGCTTCGTAGTCTGCTATATATTTATAAGGTTCCTATTAATTATACTCTAAAGGCTATCTAAGCTACTTTACTAAGTATAGTAGTTTCCCTTTTACGACTTTCCTCTTAAGAATCTCCTTAACTTCCTATTGCCTATTATTGTTAGCCGCGAGTAGTATATACTGCTTAAGCGCATTACTTCTCCGACCTATATATAGTTCTAGTAATGTTACGTAGAAAACGTTATATATTCTCGACGAGGAGGGGAGGGTAAGGCGATACGCCTACTTCCCGACTACGTTAATTACGCGGTATAGGCCTAAGTACTTTAGCCCTATCTTCTTCTTTAGAACATCTAKCTTAAGGTTCTTTATACTTAGTATAACTAGATTACTAACGTTAAAGCTTACTAGCTTATAGTTCTTATTATAGTACTTTGCTTACTATTCTAACGTATAGCGCTAGCGCTTCGAAAGTTCCTTATATATATTCTCTAGGCGCTTCGCTACGTCTATTACTACTAGTATTCTCCCCTTCTAGAGCTCGCTCCGAGCGATATTATCGTCTACTAGCCGTATACGCTCCGCTAATAAAGGGTTAAATCCGTAGAGGATCTTAAAAGGACTTATCTTAAGTCCTATATAAACGCTATTATTATATATAAACTCGGCTATTAATAACATCTCTACTTAGCGGTCCTACTACGTGCCGTAGTAGTATCGTAGGTACTACTCGAGCGTTTAATTTGCTTTTTCTATCTAACTATCTATCTAAGGGTAAAAGGCGGTACTTAGCTTACGCCTTACCTACGTCTCGAAGTAGAAGTTAGACTAGAACTAGCTAGTAAACATAGAACCTCTATCGCTTATAATACTACTAGATAGGCTATAATACCGTACTACGTAGTTTACGAAGATATTAGTAAGCTCTACTATATTATATTACCTAGTAGTAGGCACGAAGATAACTATCTTACTATATCTATCGACGATTACTAGTATAGCGGTATATACGCTACCGACTCGCTCGCTCGGAGGTAAGTCTATAATAAAATCTATCGAGATCTCCTACTACGGCCGATTAGGTATAGGTAGAGTATTTATCTCGCTATACGGGCGATAATACCGCGCCTTACTTACGAGGTATATATTATATCCTTTAATATATTCCGCGACCTCGTCTACTATCTTTAGCTAATAGT